TCCTTTCGGTCGAAGTTGAACAAATAGTCGAACAATTTTTCCCAGGAAAACTTAAAAATACTTATCAACAACTTCTAGCGTAGTGCTTCCCACAACTACCGGTATATATTTGACTTTTTCATTTTCATCGCAACACCTATCCGTTGTAAGGTACTATTGAGGTCATTGAACATATTGCTAAGGTATTCCAGCGATTCTGCTACAATATCTTTATTGTCGGAAAAATAGAAGGTGAGTGAGGTTACATCATTAATGTTTAATACCTTATACTTTCTGGTACAAAAGCTTGAAAATGTCTTCCAATGCAGCAGTGGAGAGTTTCTCGGATATGTTTTTATACGTGGTAGAGCCATGCTGCAGCTATACTAGTGGTGTTGTAGCACGAATGGGTTGGCTTCACCAGAGACAGACCACGTTCTCACAGAATACCAGAGTAAAATAGCAGCGGAACGCTAAAGTGTTTTGTATTAGTGAGTGTAGAGAATCGGAGACCCTATTTTACTGGAAACGAGGCATTCCATCTTAGTCCTCACGGGTGACAACGCATCTGCATTTTGATATCGAGGATAGATGTTGATGACTATGGGCCACAGCAACCCCTTACCATCAGTTGGACTGTATGCTCGTTTGTCACCCTTATCCTATAAGAAAATATCAAAAAATAACGTCACCCTGTCTGCAGTTGGATAGGTGTCATACTCTGGTTCTGTACTCGGATAGCCATCGTAGCCCTGTTGTATAAATAGTGTGGTTCTTAGCAACGAAAAGGTTATCTGGTGGAACTTTTGAATTCTTTGATTGCTTCTGGTCTTCCAGTTACTTCTGCTTTACTGAAAATTGATGTTCCAGCGTGCTCTTGCGTTTACCTAGCTTGTTGGCTGTGTTCACGATTCAAGCAAAAAAACTACCGAACGATTTTACATAAAATTTTGTATATAGGCAGTAAATGTGTGTAACATAAAGGCAACTTTTTAACCACTTACAGAAGAATAAAAAAAGGGTTATGTTTTTCCTTTTTTTTAAGTTTATTTTCATTATGACTGCTGATGATTCTATTAGTCCTAAAGAGGATTTAGCAATACGTATAATAAATCTATAGAAAAGTGTGTGTATGAAAATGAAACATATCGCGCCACCAGTAAGGTTAGAATAACGTCTGACGGGGCATAAGCCTTTTCGGAAAAAATCGGCAATCGAAAGTCGAAAGAAAATTTGAAAATTACTTTTAAAAGCGTTTATGCTCCAAAGCTTACCACCTATTATTTTGATGGCAAATGGCGATGGCAGCCAGATGCATCATACTTCAGAACAGATGCTGCTTGTGGGACTGGCCTGCTCAGGTTCGCTATTAACTGATAGGCTTCAAATTCTTAACTTTATTTTTGAGTACCTACCTACATCATAGTACATGCTTCAGTTAAAGATGAGTCTGTTACTGTTTTCCATTCTGTATACTATGCTATTGTAATGTTAAATTTAAAAATGACAAAATAGGGGATACCTGCGGGGTTTCTTTTGCCGTTTCTTCTTCGGTCTCAGGAATCTCATTTACAGGCAGTAGATTAGAAGAAAATTAGTTTTGACGTTTTCATATCGAACAAATAAATATACTTCATTTAATTTCATTACCACTCCTTGCATTTTTCTTCGCGCTTTAAAAGTAAGAAAGCCACTATAATTACAAGTAGCGATTTCAAAATTAAAAAAAAACGCCTTAAAGAAATGTCTAGAAGATCTTGTGGCCTATGCGTTTTATGATTTTATAGATGACGATAAAACGTATTTTGTCAAATATTAGTAATTAGGGATTAGGGACAGTAAGCAGTTTTAAAGGTATAAGAGGTTTGATACTACAAACGCTAATCTATGTATATGCCAAGTGTGGCGAAATCGTTGGTACCCATATGCAGAAGTGAACTGTATACCTACAGGCTGAAAAGTTTTAGGAGAGGGAAATCAATAAATACCTGAACAATTTCTACACAAAAATGCCGTTATATATTCTATATTATCTTCCATCGTTTCTGGATATCGCGCTGATATTTAAGTACTGTTTCGCCGGTGTTACATCTTTTCCATTAAAAAGCTTATGTTGTTCTCAACAGACAATCCCACATCATAGAAAGCAATGAAGTACGATATAATATTTGCTTTGTAAATTCGACTTAAATCATACTTAAATAAATGAAACAAAGAACAATGTCAAGTTAGTTGCATATTTTTTACATAAATGTTTGAAATACAAACCGAGGAAAGCATAAGCGTAATCCATTTAGTATCGGTATTCTTATTTCCATACCTGCTTAGTGGTGTCGTAAGACGTAACGACATTAGCCCGCTTATTCAAAGAAATACAGGCTGGTACTAATATTATATACTTAATTTAAATTATTTAGTTATACTTTATGTAAATAAACTGAAAATGGGATAAACGTTTCAGGCTGTTGCAAATATAATAGATATAGTCTACACTTAACGATTGTATGAAAATAAATGTTGTCAGAAAAAACTACTCGTAAGCTTATAACATACCTTAGAAATACAAAATACTTGTTTAAATATACAAATATGTATACGCCTTAATGTTTTACATAAAACTTTTCGTATGCTCTTTTCCTCCAAATAATGTTGATATTTGGTAAACCAACGTCTTAAACCTGCTAAATCAGTTCATTTCTCACATCAGGGATTAGTTAAAGAATCCGATTCTACAATGTGAAATATAAATCTTGAGAGTGTAAGAAGAACGAAGCTAACATTTAAAAAACAAGAAGAAGTTGGATCGATAGAAATGAGTCATGATATTATACCGAAGCAACTTCCTTGACGTGGACATAGAAAGCCATTTAAGCATGTATGAAAGTAAATTAAAAATAAATCTTGTATAGTTGTTCAAAAGGCGCTTCAATTTATGAAACTTTGAATAAATATAATATATCCAAAGTCCAAACCCTATTTGTTTAGAAGAGTGGTTTGCGCGCATTGGTTAATTCGGTAGAACAAGCACATCGTAAATCGCTTTGATTGTCAGGTATATAATCAAAGGTAAATCGATATCAGATCAAAGAGGTGCGTTTATATTGAGGGGTCAAGACGGAATTTTAGCCCAGTTCGATAACTTGCACGAGCCAGCCTTTAACAAAACCGATTGCCTTATTTCAATACAAATACATAGCTATGCCATCGTCGTTTTCACTACTTGTTTATTTAATTGTAATTAGTACAATAACGATCACGTCTCAGACCAACAAAGAAATAAAGACGGAGCGCTTAACGAGATGCTTAACTTATTATAAGAACACGCACTTACACATATGCATCTATAATCATTTGTAAACAACAACGTTTTACGTGCATATGTGTGCGTCCAACGGTAAACTTTTGCGGGCTGATGAAGAAAGAAAGAAAAATATGTGTACGTGAGTGCATCAAGAATTTGAGTATGGTTTCGGCATCACTTGAAATGTACGCAGTAGTCTGTCTTTTTTTTTATAGGAGAGGGGGCAAACGAGCATGCAGCTCACCTGATGGTAACTGACTACCGATGCCCATGAACAACTGCAACACCAGGGGAATTGTATTCATTTTTGCTCTATGGCGGTGATTCCCAACCAGTGGTCCGCAAGAACTTAAATATGCTCCGTGAAAGATTTAAACATTTTACCTACCTAATCGCTTTAAATAACACATTTATTATTTTGTCGTCACGCGGGCAGTGCAATACCGCGCATCACGTTAGTATGTACATACTAGCTTTTACGATATATACACAAATAATACTGTTAATGAATGCTTCTTTTCAGTGTATTATATAAGAGGTTTTGATTATAATATATTGGAACAAAGTTCCTTATCGCATGGTACGGACTTGGTGGGTGGGGGCTAGGCGAAAAATGTGTAACGGGGCCTATACCCTATACACCATCGGTCATGATTGGAATTGATTGGATTTGTCACAAACATTGCGCGGTTGCCCACACAAATGTGCATCTTGCATATTTGTATTTTCATCTATACGAGATGGACGTTAAAACAATAGCAGCTACCGCTATTATATCATCGCCGATGGCGTATAGGCTCCATAAGAGTTTACCATCACGACCTCCTCTATAGTGTAGACGGCCTTGGGGGCTATAAGGAAGCGAGATGGAATAATATCCATCTCCCTCGCATTTTTTCTTATCTTGCCATGAAAGAAGAGAAGAATTTTAAATATTAAATGAAGCATCATTTAATATTTAAAATGATGCTTCATTTAACAGACGCTAGTAATTCATTTATTTGTATTTGTTAATCAATACGTTTATCAATAATAATATACTACGAAAGGAACTTCGTTCCAACAGAGTGTATCACGATACTCACGCATGTTTTTGTTAGATTAACACAGTTTTTTCTTTCATCTTGTGGTCCCTGCTAACTTAATAAAAAATCAAAGTGGTCCCTGGTAAAAAAAAAAGGTTAGGAAACTATGCTCTAAAGGCTCACATAAAAATTATAGTTATTTGGTGATGTTTATAATGCAGATAATTTGGTTAAAATGCTCAGCCTGTATAAAAAAGCATTAAAAATACAATGAATTTACTTCTAAGACGTTGTCTATATCTAATTATGTTACCCTTCAGTTATCGAGGGCGAATATAAAAGGGAGTAGCAAGGAAACCAAAGATGAGTAGCCTCCGCAACACAGCCATCGGCGTACCAGCCGGAGATTGGTTATAGCACACTAAAGACTGGAGTAGTTCGTATATCGATTTTCTTCAGTATTTTTGTTATTACCATCTCAGGCTCACAATCCCTTCCCATTTTTTTTTTGTAAGTCAAATCAAAACTTCAGTAATAAAGCTGTCTCTTCAAAAATGTCCAAACTTTATCACAAATTCCTTCTTTGTTTATGGACCTTAAATTTTCTCCACTAATTTACCTTTTCTTTTAACAACATTTATCTTATACTTACTTCTCTTTCAATATAGACAACCACTCTAAGAAATTTAAACACAATGACGATTGCAAGCCTCGACCCCGGCCTAGGACCGGCGATGTTGGATGTATGGAATGGCCAGACGGCGGCATTCGGCTCCAACCAGACTGTCGTCGATAAAGTGCCTCCGGACATGTTGCACCTGGTCGACCCGCACTGGTAAGATCTCTGAAAAATATTAAAACTAATTGTCAAGGATACCATCTCACTATTTAATTACTCTGTTGCAAAAACAGTCATAAGTCATAAACACTCATACCCAGAGGGTTACGGAGACTACGGACTGCCATTTGGCACGACCCTGACATACCCTCTCTCGCCACCTTTACATTCATATTGTTGCCGTTACAGCTAATTAAAGTCCACTGCTGAACATAGACCTCCCCCATAGATTGTCTCATAGGGCATTTGCCATAGTTGCAGTTTTTTATTTTTAGTTATTATTAGGAAGGCGCTGCCGCCTACCTCCCGGCTTACTTCCCTCTGTAGCCTCTTACGACTCCACTGGACGATACGACGTAGTGGATATTCATACACCGCCACTACACGGTAATTTCGATTACGTCCATACACCTACCCATAAATGCTCGTCGGTTAAGGGTACTACTTCAATAATAATAACACTTTATAAATTACCTTACCTATGTACTGCACAAATTATTAAATTAACATACAATACTCAGCCGTCAAACTAATTATTCTACTGTAATTTTCTTCAAAATATTATATTTACTCTCAATTTCCCGCAGCTTTGCTCGCGTGGCCTCCACATAACTGCCATCATGAGTGTTTCATACCAAAAAGCGGGATCACCTCGTAGTCAGTCAGTGTCTCTGTATGTTTGTCACAAGCGTTTTTCTCAGAGACTTGACAATAATACGTGCACTTTGTAAATATTTTACAGAATATATACAAACATTTTTAATAAATCGACCACAGAAATACCTTTCGAGTCCGTATTAACAATCATAACATACATAATATACTCGTAATAAATCTGTAAAGAACGTATCATTCATTCTAATGTTTTGAAAATGGAATAAAAATAAGTCTAGGTCAAGGCCTTCAAAAGTTCACTGCTGAACATAGGCCCCCCATAAGAAATGCCACAAAGCGCGGTCCTTAGTCACATCACTCCGTCATCGTAGGCGGGCCGTCGAACACTTCGCTAACCGGTACGAGGCTGCCACTTGAGAACCTTTCTTCCCCATCGGTAGTCCGACTTCTTCGAGCTATATAACTGCCTCGTTGCCACTTCAGCTTACTGATCCGTTGGGCTCTGTCAGTTACTCTGGTTCTACTGCGGATATCCTCAGAAATTCCGAGTATAGCGTCTTTATTGCTCGCTGAGCGATCTTGAGCTTCCTCATAAGGCCATAGTGAAAGACCACGTCTCAGATTCATATTTCATCAGAGGGAACATGCGTGACGAGAAGGTGTATCGTAATCTCCCGAACGCTGCCCAGCCAAGTTGAATCCATCCATTGACTTGTCGGTCGAAGTTGAACTTACTGAGTCGGACAATTTGTCCTACGTAAACATACTCGTCTACAACTTCGAGTGTAGTGCTCTGTTAGGAGCTACTGGAACTACTGGCATAGGTGTGACATGAACGTTACACATTACCTTTATTATGTTCATATTAATTTTAAGAACTGTCTGTTGGGAGGCACTATTGATGATATTGAGCATAGTGCTAAGATCTCCCAGCGATTCTACCTTAAAGGACTCTATCGCTGACAAATCGAAGGTGAGTAATGTGATTGCCATTAATATTAAAACCGTATACTTTCCAGCCCAGTAAAATGAAACCGTCTTTCAATACAACGATGAAGAGTTTCGGGGATATAACGTCACCCTGTCTTACACCTATCTGTAGTTGAATGGATTTCGTACTCTGGTCCTGTACTTGGATAGCCATTGTACTGTACAAACACTTCAATATACCGTCAGTCAACTTGGCACCGCCCAAATTTCGACTTACGCAAGACAAAGTGGTAGATTGTACTCTTCGGTCTTCTGTGCAATTTGCCAAATGGCATGTACATATGTGGTTTATAGTACTAAAGCACTTTTTCGGAAACAGACTTCTTTGGGAGGCTGCAAGTCGTTGAGTCACTGTGCTAGACGATTCGTGACTCACGAAAACAGGACGTGGATGTGGTTCAGAAGCGAAATCGATCTGTAGTTCTTCAATAGAGCGTTGTCGGCTTTTGTCTTCTTTTTGAACAAGAGCACCGCACTTCTTCTCCATGCCTCCGGAGTGGTGCCAATATGAGGACGGAATTGACTATAAATACCGGTTATTAAAACCGCTTTCAAAAGCTCCGCTGTAATTCCATACTCGCTGGAGGCCTTGCCGTTTTTAAGGTTTTGGAGATTTATTTTAATGTCGGTCATACTGACGTCCGGAATGTCATCGAAATAGAGTCAGATAAGACTTGATCTGAGGTCGGTACAAATTGTGACTCCAACTATGTAAAGGTGCTAAAGTTTAATTAGTGATTTTTAGAATTTTCCTCTCTCTGTATTCACGATTCACGTTAAAACTACTGTACGTATTTTAAAGGTAGTAAATGAGAGTGGAAGGGATAAATAGAGGAAGCGTAAATAGAAGAGTTTAATTCTTCTTTACTTCATATTTTCTTAAACGGAAGGGTTTTATTCATATTTTCGGAGCTATTAAGATTTTCTTGACCAACTTGTTTCCACAGCTCACATAAGTAACGCAAACGAAAGTACTCTGGAAAAAGTTCTCTAAGTAAATAATAAAGACCTTAAGTGAAAAAAAAATAAAAGCCTGTATTATATGGTATCATCATTCAATAAAGCCAATTGATATGAATCTAATATTGCCAATAAACATTATGCTGTTAATTTAACGAAGACGACGAAATATCAAGTTATTTTATGAAAGTAAATAACGAAAAGAGCAAAAATAAAACAGTATTTCCCTCAATCACATAGCTTAAGCGCTATGCTTGCCGTAATTTTCGCATTGCAAAGGTAACCTATATGTAAATCTGCGTGTCTGAGGAATAAAAATATTTGAAGACAAATGAAGTCCTCCAACTACTGTCCCACGATTAGTTCACTGCACTGATCCACCCAACATGCACTGGATCTGCACAGCGGACTAATTGCTAAATAACCCTTTCAGAAATATTAAGAGGCTAGTGCCCAGCATTAGGAAGTCACTTTACTTACTTTAATTTTATACCTAATTGTCAATACTAGTGGCTTTGCAGATAGATACGATAGGAAACTGGAATTTTAAAGAATATTTGCGCAAAATGTTAAATAAAATTAAACACAAAATACTTACATCTTTTTGAAATGAAGCGATTTTTGACACCCTACGCTATCTATTTACGCACAGACAGACAGACACACTGAGAGATAACAAGGTAACCCCAAAGTGTTCCATTTTGCGATTGGATTTCTATTCAAAAGCAAATTTTTAAAATCTGGCAACACCGTCGTCGGTAGTAGTTTGGAACGTGCAGGTACAGCGGTAGCAGTGTTGGCATCAAAGTTTTGACAACAATTGCACCGAACGCGCTTAAAAGCACCACTGCAGCGCGTGTACCTAAGTGTAATAAAAAGAACCGACGAACGAAGTCGAAGAAGAACCTGCTAGCACGTCTAAGCTGACTTCTGAACCTTGCACTTCCACTCGAACATTCGAACGTTGTCAGTAGGCATGGCTCGTTCTTGCAAAATATAATGAGTATCAGGGCTTTCAAGTTAAAAATATTAGTACGTCCATATTAAAATATCAGCGCCAAAAACAAAAGTTTAGAATCCTTTCAAGAACTTTCCGTTTCTTTTGTAGGTAGTTGAAAAGTAAGTAAAATTGAAAATATTTACTTACGAAATTAGTCCATACTGACGAGAGACTAAAAATACTAAATAGAGTATACTAATAGAGTACGCGAATGCAAAAAATAATTTCTCACCTTAAAAATAAAAATACTTGCCTAGGAATAGATTTGTTCCTTTTTCTAAATATGGAGCAAAAAGTGTGAAAAAATACTTCAATACCTTAGAAGTATTTCGAATGATCAGCGCAATTTTGGTTCTTATTTTTATGATACAAAGTTTTACCGATCACGTTTCGGTGGCGAAGGCTAGGGGAACCCACGCATCGTAATACCGATACTCTTTTCACGGACGGATGGACGGCAGGATGAAGGCCCAACCTTTCCAGCTGTTCCGCAGCCAACAATACATACCCGAAGTGGGCTCACGAACCTCAATCTAATCAGCTACCTCGGGCCGGTTTTTGCCTCGCGTTATCCATGTGGGTACCTCTCGGTGAACGTGGATGACCACGCTTGAGCCACGATTACTGACCTCGCCCGCCACAAGCCTAACCTACATTATCATATGACATAACAAACAAATTTTATAATAATTATGTCAATTCAAACATTACCGACCTAAGCATTGACCTTAGACGTCTATATTTCTCACCATTCGAAACACCGCAGCACTAGTAAGCATGCACTGGTATTCCGAAGGGTCCTTATGGAATACATACATAGATGATAATGATGCTCGTATGTATTTACAGATACGTTCGCCTATTGGGATAAAATACGCTTTAAATATATGGAAAATACCTTTTCTCTTCTTTTTTATCAGTCTTGGACATAGTTCTTTCCCATTGTAGTGGGAGGATTGGCAGATCGCACTATCAGGTGTCTTGCAAGTTTAACACTGGTGCACACAATCCACGGGCTGGATTTTTTTGATTTTAGCTTTGTACAACAATTAACAAACCCTGTGGTTTCAGTTAAGTGCGTTATCAGAATCGAATCGAAAACTCGACATTAAAAAAATTAAATTAAATTAAAAGAAATGTTTATTTTCAAATGTATTTGGTTATTATATTATATAACCTCTAACTGATACACGCATCGGTAATGGAGACTCTTACTCCCAGGCTAATGCAGAGGTTGAGTTTTCAAATGCACTATAAATTAATATCTATACATTTAAATACTGATTTTGATAACGTACTTAACGGGAAGCACAGCGTTTTTGTTACATGTTGTATATATAAGTGTTTGAATTTCAGGTACCAATTTCCTCCAATGAACCCTATGTGGCACGGTTTATTGGGATTTACCATCGGCGTATTAGGTTTTATATCAATTGCAGGAAACGGCATGGTTGTATATATTTTTACAACGACTAAGGTATATTCCACTTATAAGCTTACTTTTCATTATCTTTAAACCTTATATATAAGATTATTATAAGAAACATTAATTTTCAGAGTCTTAAGACGCCTTCAAACTTACTAGTAGTTAATTTGGCTTTCTCCGACTTCTTGATGATGTGTTTCATGTCTCCAGCAATGGTTGTGAATTGTTATTATGAAACATGGGTGTTTGGTTCGTATGAGGAACATTTTACTACACTTTAACGATATAGATACGATTGACCAAAGTGACAGATGTAAAACTTACCGCCTTCATTCAATTGCAGGTCCCTTAGGTTGTGATATATATGCATGCACCGGTTCGTTGTTTGGTTCTATTTCAATATGGACGATGACTATGATCGCCTTTGACCGATATAATGTAATTGTGAAAGGCATTGCAGCTAAACCTTTAACAATAAATGGAGCACTTTTGCGCATACTTGGAATTTGGCTCTTCTCTTTGTTATGGACTGTTGCACCTATATTCGGTTGGAATAGGTAAATTTACAAAATTGCTTTTCATATATCTCTTGCAGTAATAGACTGATAATGAACATTAATTAATTGTTGTCAGGTACGTCCCCGAGGGTAACATGACTGCATGTGGAACTGATTATATTAGCAAGAGTTGGTTCAGCCGCAGCTACATTCTAGTATACTCAGTTTTCGTTTACTATGTCCCTCTCTTGCTTATCATTTATTCCTACTTCTTTATCGTGCAGGTAAGTGTATAATTACGAGTATAAAATACTATAACAACGTACGTGTAATTTTGAATTTAACTCATACATATTATATGAGTAGGCGGTAGCAGCTCACGAGAGGGCAATGAGGGAACAAGCTAAAAAAATGAACGTAGCGTCACTTCGATCATCAGAAGCCGCCAATACAAGTGCCGAATGTAAACTAGCTAAGGTACAACAACAACTGAACAATTTAATAAACCGCGAAAATTACATCAATATTTAATTTAACAAACACATTTGTTATCGTGATTCAGGTTGCATTGATGACCATCTCATTATGGTTCATGGCGTGGACTCCCTACCTGATTATCAACTACATGGGAATTTTCGAGACCGCACCGATCAGTCCCCTCACGACCATTTGGGGCTCAGTGTTTGCTAAGGCTAACGCAGTTTACAATCCTATTGTTTATGGCATTAGGTTGGTGTAATCTTTTAGAATATAATCTTTTATTGAAATGTAATATTATTAACAAACAACAATTTATATCTTTATCGATGTAACAATTACAACTTGTACGAAATGTAAAAACTACAAAGTAATTTTATAAAAAAAAAGTTGCAAATAACAACGCAACTTAAAGAGTTATTTTTTTTTATTTGGACCAACATTTAAAAACTTAATTTTATACTCTTTGAGATTGTTAAAGGTAGATTGATTACATAAATTAAAAAAAATACAATTAATATTAATTAATATTAGTTATAATTAGAGTTACAATTCCTATGTTTTAAATAAAATTTTATTTTCAGTCACCCTAAGTATCGAGCAGCGCTCTATCAAAAGTTCCCATCACTGGCGTGCCAACCATCGCCAGAGGAGTCCGGTTCTGTTGCATCTGGAGCTACCACAGCTTGTGAAGAGAAACCTTCTGCGTGAGCCTTGCTTCAAAGGAATGCCAGAAACTGAAAGGACCGACCCGCTGCCGATTCTCTGACTCGATTGAGACAAACAAAACGTTTTTTATTATTTTTATACAGAAACGTTTATAATTGTACAAAGTTAAAAAAAAACTTGAACACTAAGCGCGAACTAAATGCAAAATATTAACATACCTAGTTCGTAGTAGTAGAATCAACACATGTATATTTTGAGTTCACGCTGAAGTTGCAAGTTGAGCGTTGCACACAATTGCCTATATTATTGTTAGTATGCATCGGCTGACGATAAAAAAATGCAAAAAAAATAAAATAAATGAACTACCTATCGTCTGGCCACTCCAGCAACCTAAGAGACTGCTCCTTTTAGATAATAAGTATGACGGATATCTTTAAAATGAAACAAGCTGTGTATCTCGGACAATCGAAGCCAATAAACAGCACGAAGGTAACAAAACATTAATAGATTTTTTATTTCTCCCACATTTTTAATTTAAAATTGAAAGTTAACCTATAATACACGCTTATAATACACGCTTTTGCCGCTGTGATGTACTAAACAATTCATTTAGTGGTAGTACGTAAGTGGTAGTACATGAGACAGATGATGGGCAGCAGCCAAGCGTGGCAACTATGGCAATATACCCCCCATGAGCAATGACATTACTAAATGGCCCCCAGTCCCCGGCGGCCCCACTATTCCTGGCTACGGTGGTGACCATGGTAATGGCGGGCTAGGGGATGCTAAGAATCTCCGGTGGAGGTTTGGTTGCCACCTACGACGACTCGACCTAGCAACTTATAACGCACGCACCTTGAGGACTGACGAGAAGATCCTGGAGCTGAAAGAAGAGATAGACTAGTTGCGCTGGAATATTATAGAATTATCCGAAGTCCGAAGAGAGGGGGAGGACACGGTAATCCTCGAATCCGGCAACTTGTTCTATCACCGGGAGGGCGACCAGCTGTCCCAAGGAGGTGTCGGATTTATCGTCCATAAGTCTCTCGTTAACAACGTTGTAAAGATTGGGAGTGTGTCGACGAAGGTTGCGTACCTTATACTCAGAATCACCAAACGGTATTCACTGAAGGTCATACAGGTTTACGCACCCACCTCGGCACATCCCGATGTGGAGATGGAGGAAATGTATGAGGGTATCTCTAGAGCCATGCATTCCTCCAAAACCCAATATACGGTGTTAATGGGAGACTTCAATGCAAAACTAGGCACAAGAGAGAACGGTGAGCTGAAAGTAGGGAATTTTGAATTAGGGCAACGGAACCCAAGGGGCCAGCAGCTGGCTGACTTCATGGCGAAAGAGAGACTCTTTATGATGAACTCTTTCTTCCAGAAGCGGCTCCACAGGAAGTGGACCTGATCGAGCCCCGACGGTTCGACAAAAAAATGAGATTAACTTCATTATGACGACCAGACGACAACTCTTCAGTGATGTCTCCATGATCGCGAGGGTGAAAACTGGTAGCGATCACCGAATGGTTAGAGGCACACTGAACCTAAACGTTAAGTTGGAGAGGTCTCGTCTAATGAAGTCAACGCTCCGTCCCCCTCGTGCTCTAATCCAAAGAAACCGAAACCTTTCAGCTCGAGTTACAAAACCGTTTTTAGTGCCTAGAAGACTGCAATGAAGTGGACGATATGAATGACAAGATCGTGGAAACTGTCCATGCGGTCGGAGCTAAGTTCTACAAAACCCGCCGCAGAAGAACAGAAAAACTCTCCGATCACACTCTTAATCTCATGGCTGTTAGACGGGAGATGAAGCTACATTCTTCAACAGATTTGACAGCATACAGGCAACTGAACAGACAGATTTCCAAATGCATGCGGCGGGACTTACGCAACTTCAATACAGCTTGTATTGAAGAAGCGATCGAGCGGAACCAAGGCTCCAAAGTCTTTGCCAGAGATCTGTCTGCCAGAAAGAGCCAACTGTCAAAGCTGAAGACCGAGTGTGGCAGCATCGTTTCTGGGGCACCTGAGATTTTGAGTGTGATTGAGAGGTTCGATGGACAGCTGTACACGTCATCGTTGGAGCCACACGCAAGTGTGAGTAACGATCCAAGAGCGAGTCTTATCCGACACTATTACGAAGATATCCCGGACGTCAGTCTGAGCGAGATTAGAATGGCTCTCCAGCACCTTAAAAACGGCAAGGCCCTAGGCGAGGATGGAATTACAGCGGAGCTTCTGAAAGCGGGTGGAAAACCAGTACTTGAAGTCCTTCAGAAGCTCTTTCCGTCCTCCATGGTGGCACTACACAGGAGGCGTGGAGCAGAAGTGAGGTGGTCTTGTTCTTCAAGAAAGACGACAACGCTCTCTTGAAGAACTACAGACCGATTTCCCTTCTGAGCCGCGTCTACGTGCTGTTTTCGAGAGACATTACGAATCGTCTCGCACGCAGACTCCGTTCCCAGGATCTTGTTTCCATCGACGCCCCTCTCGGCTCTTCGAACCATTGTTTGATCCAGAGTGTGGTGCCACTCACGCTCCTTCGTGGTTGCATTCTGCAGGCTGCCACCGTGTTTGGCATTACAGGTCGGCGGATTGGAACCGGAATGCGGTCTTTCTTCGCATCCTACACATGGGACGGGTTTGCTTCTCGCCGGATGATCCCAGCGCTATTGCTGACTCTGTCACTGATGTGTTGCTACAAGGAATGGAACTATTTATTCCATTATCTGTGGTACCCATCGGAGGCAGATCTCAGCCCTGGTTTGGTCGCTCCTGTAAGACTGCATTACACAGTAAGCAGTTCGCGGTTCAGCTTTGGCGGCTCGGAATGTAAACACCAGCATGTTTAAAAAGATGTATAACTAAGGGGGAGGCTTTGGCGGTTAGTTTGGACATAGCGAAGGTCTTAGATCGGGCTTGGCTCAAAGCGCTTCTTTCGAAGCTTCCTTCTTATGGGCTTCCCGAGAAATAGAAGAAATAGTGCAATTGTGTCACCAGTTTTCTGGCTGCAAAATGGCCAAATTGGCCTCTATAGTGCATGGCGTGCTCAGCAAAGCAGGACAGTATTTCATGCCGGCACACCGCCTGCAACTTTACAAGGCACAGGTTCGGCTGCATATGAAATACTGTGCCCATCTCCAGGCCGGGGCTTTCCAGTGCCAGCTCCTTCCACTTGACCGCATCTAGCGCAGAGTGGTTGGAATCGTCGGCGACCGAGCTCTTTCAGATCGGCTTGATACACTGACGCTGTGAAGAGATGTTGCATCTCTTTGCCAATTCGACCGTATCTACCACGGGGAGTGCTCAGAAGAATTATTCGGACTAATTCCTGCCGCTAAATTTCACCAACGCACATCGCGACAGAACTCGAAATGCCATCCTTACCATCTGGATGATTGGCGGTCCACTACTGTGTGATTTAGAAGAAGTTTTCTTCCTCGCACAACTTCCTTGTGGAATGGAATACCACCCGCAATTTTTTCGGACTGATACGACTTAGGGTTCTTCAAGAAAAGAGCCTACTCTTTTTTAAAAGGCCGGCAACGAATCTACAATTCTCCTTGTGTTACAGTTGTTCATGGGCAACGGTAGTCACTTATCATCAGGTGAGCCGCATGCTGGTTTGCCCCCTTTCATATAAAAAAAATAGCATGGCTTTAAATTTTCCTTATATTCCAATTTCTGAATCAAGAATCAATCGATTTTGCCAGCGTGCAATGAAATGGTTAAGTTAAAATCAATTTCGAACGAGTTGAATCATTAGGATCAAATAATTTGTATTCCTTACCCGTTCAAATAGTGGTCAATCAAGTAGCTCAATCTTTGATTGAATCTTATAGGATTGACTATGGATTAACGTAATAGTTTCGATGTTTTTTTTTTCGAATTTTACGCTGTCATAGCGTCCTTTGGCAAGTTTTGAATTTGGACTGTCTTAAAAGAATTGGTTCGGGAGTAAGTCAGATTTGAAACAAAGTGAGATCGAATCAAAAACAAAATCGATTCATTTTCGGTAGGAAGTCTAATAAGTCTCTATATTTACCGCTTGTATCTTACTAGAGACACATGAGTAAAGAAACGACCAAAAGTGGCTCCATCTCCACCACCATTTTTTCCTTAAATTTTTCACATGCATTATGTGACAAACCTATCAGAATAGGTATACATTTTCGACGTTGTTGAGAAGCTTCCCCTCTGGTCCTTATTCTTTACTCTGTGCTAGAGATCTTTTATGGCCAAATTATAAATTAGTACAACACAAAACAAAAACCAATAAAAACCCTGCTAAAAATTAGACTCTTTCTGTCCTTACTTTAGCTAATACAATGTTATTTAGTGATTATAAACTCTTTGACCGGTACCTCAGAGAGGGACCATTTTACGAGCTCAGAGTAAGTATAAGCATTCGAACCCGAGACCTCATGATCAGCAGTCGCGTTTACAACCATTAGACCAACGATGCAGTGATAGTCGAGTATTGACATAAAATATATATATATATATATATATATATATGTAAAACCATTTATTTATAATAGGTCTTTACCTACGAAATTACCGTTCTGTAATACTGGCCATTTCAAAATAGTTTTTGTTAGGCTAAAAATTCTAATTGCAAATTAATTTTATTTTAAAAGCTAGTCATTCCAGTTCAGTCAACTAGAATTCTTTTTTCAAAATTGCTCATTTTTTTTATTGATAAGTGTTATGTTTTTATCGCATTTGAATCTTTTTCGTCATCATGGATACTTTAAAAAATCGAGTAATTATGGAATATGAGCTCCGTCGTGGCAGCAACGCGGTACAAGTGGCACGCAACATCAGCAACGAAGTTTACGGAGCGAATACTACAAACGAACGTACCATGAGATACTGGTTTGCCCGCTTCCGTTCTGGAAATTTGAAACTTACTTCCGAAAACTTTGGTTGACAATGACGAATTAAAGGCGATTGTGGAAACTGATTTTACTCAATCTACGGCTGAATTAGCAGCAGCTTTCGACGTTAGCATCAAAACAATATTGTTCCATTTTACAAATGCGTGCCCTACGAACTCAATGATCGCCAGCGCGAAGTACTCGTCGAGATGTGCCTTACACTGCTCAACAGGCACACAACCGAAATAATTTTGAACCGTTTGTTACCTCCGGCAAAAAATGGATTCTGTTTAACAATCGCAAGCACTCAGCAACTTGGTTGGATCCTGGTTCAGCACCTAAACAATGCCTTAAAAGAAAACTTACCCATAAAAAAGTGATGGTCACTGTTTGGTGCGCCGGTACAATTTTCTTTACAATTTTTAGAGTTTTTTTTTTATAGGTGACAAACGAGCACACAGTCAAACTGATGGTAAGTGGTTGCTGCGACCCATAGACATCTACATCTATCCTCTATTACAAATCAAAATGTAGATGCGTTGTCACCCGTGAGGACTAAGATGGAATGCCTCATTTCCAGTAAAAAGAGCCTCCGGCCACCTGCACTCACCAAGCGAAACGCAGAGATAAACCGCTACTTCACGCTGGTTTTCTGTGAGGTCGTGGTACCACCCCGGTTCGAGCCGGCCCATCCGTGCGACAGCAAAAGCTGCCGCGTGGCTCTACCACTGTTAGATATATACCAAAACAACGAAAATGTAAAGAAGAATGTTGATATGAGGTTGTCGACATTGCCAATATGCCTTAAAACTACATCACTAATGTTTAAATAAATTTTCTATTTAAATGTATTTTAGCAGTTATAATACAGTGTCATTTTTACAAAAAACAGACTTGTTATTTTCAAAATATTGTGAAGTAGGTACAGTTTATTTTCAGTTATAATATAATTGAATTCTAGGGTAATAAAACTTTTTTATAGGATAGGGGGCAAACGGCTCACCTGATGGTAAGTGACTACCGCCGCTCATGAACAACTGCAACACCAGGGGAATTGCAGGTGCGTTGCCGGCCTTTTAGAAAGGTCCGGAAAATTCGCCGGTGGTAAACTATTACAGAGAGGTTGTACAGGGAAGAAAATTCCTAGTAAAATGTCGGGAGTTTTGGCGCGATGTGCGTTCGTGAAATTTGGCGGCTGGGATTAATCCAAACAATTCCTCCGAGCACTCTCCGTGGTAGTTTCAAAATAAAATGCAAAGGGATGCAACATCTTTACGCAGCGCCAGTGTATCGTGCCGATCGGAAAGGGCTCGGTCGTCGACGATTTGAGCCGCTCTGTGCTGGATGCGGTCAAGTGGAAGGAGCTGGCACTGGGGTGCCCCGGCCCAGAGATGGGAATAGTATTCCATGTGAGGCCGAACCTGCGTCTTGTGAAGTTGCCGGCAGTAAGCCAGCATGAAATACTGTCCCGCTCTGCTGAGCACCCCAAGCTTTTAAGATGCCAATTTGGCCTTCTCTTCCAAGTGATCACGAAACTGCACGACACTCGATATGTCGACGGCGAGGATTCTGATACTGGCTTAGGCTACAAAGGGGAGTGCCTTGAAACTCAGAAGATACGACAAAGGGGTTTCTTTTTAGCGGTAAACGCGCAAACTTATGTCTTCTGGGATTAAACTGGATTAGATTTAGTCGCCCCAATCTGAGACTTTGTTCAGCAAAGACTCGACTTCAGACACAAGTTTGTTCCGGTACTCGGCGATGTTTTCCTTAGAAATATTGGCACGGCCGATGTATAGAGCATCATCAATGCTATCATCCGCATAGCAATGAATGTTACCGGTTTGCAACATATCATTGATATGCTGAAGAAACAACGGTGGTGATAGCAAGCAGTCTTGTGGAACACCAGCATTAAAAGGCTTGTAATCGGAGCATGCACCGTAAAATACCAACGTAAAATAGTAGCTTAACTCTGCTGTGTTTCGTATGCTGAGTGTAGAGAACCGGAGACCCTTTTTACTGGATACGAGACATTCCATCTCAGTCTTCACGGGTGACGACGCATCTGCATTTTGGTTCGTAATCGAGAATAGATGTAGATGTCTGTGGGGCGCAGCAACCACTTACCATCAGATGGACTATGTGCTAGTTTGTCGCCCTTATCCTCTTAAAAACTTTTAGGCAGATTATGCTGCGCATAACTTTTAAGAGCTTTAGGAATTTTATTTTCACTTCTCACAATGTAATATTTGATTTCAGCTCTCACCTGACATTGAAATATCATTTATAAAATGGCGGTTTTAGTTCCAATTTTGGCCACCTGAACAGATAAGTTGGTGGCACTGTACGATCTTGGACGAATAGATACGGTCTTATTAACTTTTTCATTTAATAGAGTAAGTAAAAAGAGACCAAATACTTGACATTTCTATTTTCACGCATGAATTACACACATTTTTAAATATATTTTGCTCTTATTGACTTATTTGAAAATTGATATAGAAAAAGTGAGTTAAGCATATTGGTCCCTTTATGTAGAATGATATTCCCTCTATGCATACTATGTACATAGGTAATTAGGTACTCTAAGTTTTCGACTTTACGACTTTTATAACCATAGGCGCATAGACTTATGAATATATGTCTATGGCGTTACTTAGCAACCATAACGTAAACAAATGACGTTGATTTTTTAGACAAGACGATACACTTACTACAAAGTGGCTTCCATCACAATAATTATATTAACTTAATATTAATGAAATGGCCTGTAAAACATCATTTGAATTTCATCATAATTTTCCCAAGTTAGCAGAAGAGTCAGGTTTTACGTTCAACATACACAAACCCAGAGTACATTTAGAATGGAATAAAATCAGTAAGTACAAGGTACTAACTATATAAAATTTTAAACTTCATTTATTCATCTTTGTTACTAGTAGTGTTAACTTTGTTCTAGTACTATCCTGTCTTTGTTTGTAAGCCTAAAAGAGTAGCATAAATGTTAAAATTATTTTGTTTCAGGACTTATTGACATAGAAAGCTTAATACGTGACCGAAAGTTTATTCTAATTGAACAGCACCTAAACGATGTAAGAATGTTATTAAAATTTATTAATTGTGTATTTAAAAAGAAAGTAACGGCGAAAAAATTGTTCGACAGTCCTGTGTTCATAAAAGCTTTCAAAGTGAAATTTTATGAAAATTACTAAATGTATGACCATATATAATATTATAGTGTATTCACGCCTGAACTTACCCCCCAACCTTAGAGTTAAGCGTTCGATAAAACAGAAGAGCAGAACTTTCATGTTCCATTGACAAACTTTACGTGGTCGAGATCAGTGCCATTTTGTACATGATTAGTTATTATGTAGATTATTTACTATAATTCTTTGACAAAAAACGTAAAAAAAATATATACTTATTAAATTCCTTGAATAAAAACCCAATAATTGATTTAGGCCCGAATCGGTTAATTAATTATAATAAATAAAATCAAACGTTACTTTGCGGAAATCCATTATATTAAAGAAGTTAAAAATCAATTAGCTAAGTTCCGCGTAATAAAATGAAATGTATTGCCTAGTTTGAAGAGCACCTTTGGCCCTCCCTCCATTGCGCGGACATGGACGTATAAATAACCTTATTTATACGTCCATGTGCGCGCACTATCCCCGTTAGCGTCACTGGCTGACTGCTACACTTTGCGGACCATTTTATTTTATTACGCGGATCTCAGCTAATTAATTTTTAACATCTTTAAGTTAATTAATTAATTTAAACAAACAGAACAACGTTATTCGTTTCAATTGCAATGAATTACAAGCAAGTCACGCACACATGCATCTTCGTGTGTTTACGTCATGCATTAGTTATTTTATGGAACTATTTTATGAGGAACGAACGTGGTACCTAAATATCGACAGGTTGTCAGCGACGATATATTGGTGTCTTTGTCGGTGAACGAAAAAGCGTAATATACCATACATTTCAGAACCCCGACATCGCGACAATATATATGGTTATCGTGTCTGCCAACGAAAAAACGGTCTTAGACTGTCTAAGCCCCTAACCTCTTATTCTAAGTTTACATGCTTGCCGAGTCTTAGAAAGCTTCCACAAGGCAAGACGACTACAGGCATCTATCTGCCACTTAATCTTTATCTTTATGATTAAAATTTTTGGGATTCCAGATACATGGTTCAACCCATCTATTACAGCCTATAAATATCCACTGCTGAACATAGGCCTCCCGATAGATTACCTCATATACATTTTGCCATAGTTGCCACGCTTGGCAGGCAGATTGGTAACTGCAGTTTTTTATTTTATTTTGAGTTGTTATTGGGAAGATGCAGCAGCCCATCTACTGTTTCAGTTCACATGCATGCAAGGTTCGCTTTGGTAATATTCTAGGTATAATTTCCACGTTCGACCAGCTACTCATTTTGCAATCGAGGATTCGTAACAGAGCAAAATATCCATCTGTCGCGAGATGACAAGCGATACTAAACTATACGCGCACCAAAGTGTGCATGCATCCCAAGCGCTTGTAGCAAACGCCCTTTGATTTGTATTAAAAAACCGACACTGGTTCGGAACGGCGACAAGCCAAACAACCTATTTACACACTTGTACTTGTGGACGTTTGTTGAGACTTGGTAAGCGTGTAAATCTTCATCCCGGTAAGCGTGTTTCCACGCCTGAACAACTAACTCATAACGCCACGTCCGCACGCTTGGCACTAGCCGCAAACTCCAAATCTCTACTGCCTGATCCACACGTTTGGCAAACCCCGCCAAGTCATCACAAATTAAATGTGTGGATACAAACATTTGGCTTGATTTTGGGATTCAAATGTCTACTCCAAATCTCTAATACCTGAGCCACACGTTTGGCAACTCGCCAAGTCATCACAAATTTAAATATATGGATACAAACGTTTGGCTTGATTTTGGGAATGAAATGTCTACTCCAAATCTCTACTACCTTATCCACACGTTTGGCAATCCTCGCCAAGTCAGTTGAGATCAGTCCGCACGGACGCGGCATTAAATAAATAAAAAAAATTATATAAAATTTTCTATATAATTAAATATTAGTGTATTAAATTATTATATATTATAATTAATGTCATAAATTAAAATATTAAGGTGTTATCATCATATTTGCCACAACGTATTTGAACTTGTACTCTTTGTCTAGATTTTAGATTGTGTCTTAGAATCTCAGTTTGACGTACGCATTCTTGATGAAGGAGTTTTAAAAATTTTTCGTTTAGCACAGTTAGCTGTTGAATACCAACAGTTTTGTCGTCATTACCTCGATCGCAGCGTCTACGTTCTGCGAGAAGAAATAACAGCTCTAGCTCAGGTAGATAACTGTGGTTTTTTATTTACTTTTAATTTTCTAATTCGTTAAGTTATTAAAAAGTATGAAAATGTTCCCTTCAAAGAACAAATATAATTGTGCAAAAAATATATTTATTCCAGGAATTAGATTACGCCAAAAAAACAATTAGGGAAAAGGAGGATGAAATACGAAAACTGAAACGAAAAACCAAATACAATTTTCGTGGCTCACTTCCGTATGGCAATGACAACATTGCTAATATAATCCTACAAACACTTTCAAGAAAAAATGATATATTTGCAAACACACCCCAACTTGATAACGTGCATTACAACAAATGTACTTACTGTGATAAAGTATTCTTAAATCAGCTATATTTAAAAGGTCATATGTTAAGACGGCACAACAATGTGACAGAAATTCCGCAAAAAGATGTTGAGCCAAACCAAGCCCATACCGCAGATAACGATCATTCAATACTTCAAAATGAAGTCTTTGAACTAAAATCTAAATTAAAAGAAATGGAAGATTTTATGAAAAATGTCAACGCTCAAAACAACACGAAATTGAATTCTGAAGTAGATAAAAACGTTCTAATGAATCCCGTTGAACATAACAAAGCAGATATTACCCAAAATAAAACCGATGAAAGCCCAGTAAAACAAATGAAAGACGCGGAAATATCAACCAACATCGAAGAACATATTTTAGACAAAATGGAGGAATGGAAAAAGGCAGAATGTGAGAGGTATAATAAAGAAATTTCTATGTTAAGAACACAAATTTCTAATCTAATAGATTCATATAAGGATGCAGATCGCTTGAAAACAATACCAACTGATAACAAAATTATAGAACAACTGAACGATACTATAAAGAAACAGAGCACGGAAATAGTGGGATTAAAAGAAACCATAAATAATTTGGTACGTATATGCTAAGGTTATCGGTTAAAGTGTTTAACTGATGAGTCATATCATAATAATGTTATAAAGCAGACATAGCATTTCCTCAAATATTGGAGATTGGTGGTAGCCGTGGAGGCATTTATGGGATATATATGCCAGAAATATTTTATGGCTTCTGAAAGATGCAGGTACAATAATCTAGCTTACGCCAGCCGTAAAATACCCAGACAATCGATTGCAAGCAGCGTCAAAGGTGTGAAACGTATGGTACTGTGATCATCAGTCCCTGCCTGGTTTGTTTCGCCGCTCTGTCGCCTCATATGACACCAACGGAGCGATATAGGGTAGTGGATATTCTTACACCGTTACTACATAGTCACGGAAGATATTGTAGATAACACGATAATATTTACACGGTGAAAATAATATGCATATTATTGTTTAATCTATTTCAAATAGTAGTAAGTTTTTTGATAGATTAGGTTAATAAGACTATCTTATTAACTATTCAGATTAGACAAAAGCTTTACTAGACACCTCTTCACACTGCACAGTCTAATCTAAGCAATCTACTGCCGAAAATGGCCATCCAGGGGTATATTACAAAACTTAACACTCACGAGCTGACTCGTAAAAATGAGATTGCATAGGAATTTCATTATTTTTTCTATAACACTGAGGTAACAAACAAAATTACGGTCCAACTGATTGATAGTAAGTGACTAATACAATGCATCCTATAATCACCATCAAACAAAGAAGACTACAAAATACATACAAATGAGTTACTTGCGTATTTTTATATAAATGCGTTGCCACCTCTAAGGACTAAGATGGAGTACCTCGTAGCCTGTAGTTATACTCCACCCTTTATGCCAGAACACAACAGTTCAAGCACTGCGACAATAATTTAAAATTAAGATTTTGTACAACCGACTTCAATATAAATTATTAAGAATAACTCAAAAAACTATTGATCAGACCTGGCTCAAATTTATACGGGATCACATGTGAAGCACCAGCTTTCAAATAAAAAAATGAATCATCGAAATCGGTTCATCCTGTAAAAAGTTATGAGGTAACACACAAAAAAAACATACAGTCGAATTCGACTCAATGAGGGCTAATAATCTTCCACTCATCAGATGTCGCTAGTTGTGACTGAGGTAAAGTTTTTCGTTACATAGTGTGAGTTAATTGAGAAATTAGTTTTAAATAATAGTTTATCATTATCTAGAGTGTTATATTTATATACAACACAATGCGTCAATGGTTTGATTTTTAATTTTTTTGCACTTTATAACTCTTTTTTTTTTAATTTTTCTACTTTAAGTTATATTTATAGTTTGTTTATTCACTTCTAATGTAATGAATATAAAATATAACTAACAATACGGAAAGAAACCTTAAATATAACATTTTCCTAAGAAATTATCGTCCCCGCTATGAAATCTGCCAAATATTTTACTTCACTGTAAAGTGGCGCCGCCCTGGTGGCAGAAAAATTGTGGATCATTGAGTACCGTCTCCTTTTTGAAGTCTGTAGAAAATAAGTACCGAAACGGACTCTTAGGCAGAAAAACAATCCTCCTTTCTAGTATTCTATTATTTAAAAAAGTATATTACTTTTCAAATTAAGTTTCTTTGCTATAGTTCAAACCCATATCATTAACGTGCTTATAATATAGGGACTGAAATCAAAAAGTGAAGATGTCGATACTAAGAAAGAAATCGAAGCCCAAATAGCTTTTTGGGCTGAAAGGGTTGAAGTTCAATCTAGAGAGTACAAATTGTTGCTACAAAAATTGGACATCGTTGCAAAAGAAGCTCACGAATCTCGTAAGTGTGCTGAATTAGAAAGACAACGTGCAACGAAATTACAACTTTTATTAGAACAAAACATTAACAATGGGGCAGAAAGAAATAACCAAATGTTAAATGGTAAAACGGTTAGTATTACATGTAAATAAATTGTCAATTAAATTGTAAACTATTTATTAAATAGTTTTAATATTACTTATATAATTATTTCAGAATTTCACACTAGTTAAGGAAAATTCAGTTGAATCAAATACATCTCCTAAAAAATCAAATCCTGTACCAGATCATAAAACACTGGAGAAACTTCACCGTAGGGCACAAGAACTTCTAAATACAGAATCGATGACCTCTTCCGACGTGTCTAGTACAGATGGCAATAACACCAATATTTTAATTGAGAAACAAAAAACCTACAACGAAAAGAATACCAAAGGCTTAAAAAATAACATGAGCAATAGAAATGGAAAAAAGAGTGATAACATATCAAACCATAAAACTTTGCAGAAAAATATATTAAAAGCGAATCCAAACACTGTGCGCCAAGTGTTGAAAAAACACAAATCTGCATCAAAAATAAGTAACAATTCACTCAATAATAATTGCAGGTAAGATAAAACTTATTAATAATTTAATATGACTTGTGAAAAGGAAACCTTTTCATATATGCATATATATTTTAAATAATATACGGTTTTCACTTTTATTATTATTATTATAAAGTGTATTAATTTGTTTCAATTTTGTGTTCTGTATGCACAGTCGCTACAGCATTTTTTTATACTTCAGTTCATACCACAAATTTGACAACTAACCTAAACGAGCCACATTTATGTGGCTACCAATCGATTTCATCTAATCTAAAATAACGTCCTTTTGCCTTCCTTACCGCGCGTATCAATTTAAAAACGCGATCCATCTCTTCATGTACTGACCTGAGACCTGAGGTTAGCAATAAATAATAAAGTAACTTAAAGGAATATCCAATTACAAAATACTCACTTACGGTGGTAACTCAGATATTAATTTATAAAGTAGGTCGAAATGAAAAATTACATCATTTAAGGTAAGCTTAGTTTCCAATGTATTCTACACTTTATAGCTGTCTCGTTTTAAAGAATTACAATAATAAAATTTCTAAGAAAATTTATGATATTGGTTTTTGGGCTACGCTATTAGTATAAGAAATGTTGCAATAACGTTATGTCAGTCTTTATTTGTACGTACTTCACAAACTAACTACGAACTACCCCCTATCATCCCGTGGGTGTCAGCAAGGGACAACAGAGGAACACTGAAATGAGATGGGCAGCAGCATATTTCTAATAACAAATCAAAATAATAAAAAAACTGAGGACGCCAACCCGCCTGCCAAGCATGACAACTATTGCTAATATTCATTGTAATAAAATATAAGGTAAATTACGGGGGAGGTCAATGTTCAGTAGTGGACTTTTATAGGCTATAATGCAATGTAATGATGATGAAGGTAATAATTTTAAGGAAAGTACTTAACACATAAAAAGCTAGTTTGCCAGTAAAAAAGCTTTAGTTACATTCACGACGTAGGTACATACCCTTTCCACAAATTGTACAGAAATACTAAAATATGCCACTTTGTCTTGCCAGACTATGAGAAAGCTTTTGATACCGTCGAATTTTGGGCGGTGCTACAGTCCCTCTAGCTGTGGGTATATCGAGGTTTTTTTTTTGAATTAGGGTGACGAACGAGCACACAGTCCACCTGATGATAAGTAGTTGCTGTGGCTCATAGACATCTACATCTACCCTCGATTACGAATCAAAATGCAGATGCGTGGTCACCCGTGAGGACTAAGATGGAATGCCCCGTTTCCAGTAAAAAAGGTCTCCGGTTCTCTACACTCACCATACGAAACACAGCAGCATTATGCTGCTATTTTACGCTGGTATTCTGTGAGAGCGTGGTCCTTTCCCGGTCGAGCCGACCCATTCGTGCTACATCTATACTATTAATATAGCTGCAGCATGGCTCTACCACGTAATAAAATGCTTTTATAGTAACGCTACGATCTCTATCCGAGTACGAAACCTATCCAACTGCAGAAAGGTGTAAGGCAGGGTTGTGAGGGTATTATATCGTCGAAACACTTCGGTACACATAGTCTCTTTGGAAGACATTTTCAAGCTAATGGGATGGAAAGAAAACGGTATTAACATCAATGGCGAATGGCGCAAAAGTTTGGTGAATTAAAAATTTACACATACACAAACAATAACACACATAAAGATCATACAATCTAATTAAATACCTTTTCCTTTTCTTGAAGTCGGATAAATAATGTCCGGTTTACATTATTCCAGTCCAACGATTGAATCCAGCGCTGGATTGCTTACTGGAAAAATGTAAACCGGCACTGAAATGCACTGAATCCAGTGAGCATTCCAGTCCAGTAACTTAATTTGCAGTCTTAGTTTGAATCCAGTGCGACCAATCCAGTGCATCTGGAATAGAGAATCTTAGACAAACAACTTTACTGGAGTTCTTTCAATTATGCAAATTTGACGATTTCGCAAGAACTTTGATTTATGACGAAGTTCCAGCGCATTATACATACGATAAGCAACACAGGATTTTTAATCGCCGTATGCGTGGTATTCCTATTGAAGGTTTTCCCAACCGTTTTAAAGAACATGTGCTCGGCAGAGTGTACACTGTACGGGATGTATAACTCCGAATATTTCTACGAACGCTTACTTTTGTATACTGTACGAGGACCCACATCATTTTTGGCTTTGAAAATGTTCAACAACACTTAATATCCCTCTTTTCAAGCGGTTTGCTTGACTCGAGGGTTATTGGACGACGACTAGCACTAGGACAACCCTCGCTGAAGCATCTGTTAGCGATAGCCCGCGTCGTTTACGGAATTTATTTGCGGTATAGTTAGTATGTTGTGATCTTTCAGATGCTCATCAAACTTGGGTTAAATACCAGAAAAGTTTAGCTGAAGATTACATTAATTTTGAATATGGTGAACTAAATCAAGAGATGCGCAATGACGTATTGAATCGTTGTTTGTGTAATATACAATACAGTTTTTTCAATTGGTGGTAATCCCTTAATACGCTATGGATTACCTGAACCAATCTTAAATGTCGAACATACTAATAGAGAGTATGCAGCAGAATCCAATTACGACTCAGGAGAACTGGCCCAAATTCTTCAAGTAGGTGTACCTATCATGACCCCTGAACAAAGAATTATTTTCGATCGTGTATGTAACAGCGCTTTGAGCACCTCTGGTGAAATGTTTTTTTTCCCCCTGGGGGTACTGGTAAAACATTTACGGAACTTATCCTTGCGCAAATACGTAGCCAAGGAAAAATTGCAGTGGCCGTGGCCATCGTCCGGAATTGCAGCTATCTTACTTTCAGGGGACAAAACTGCGCATTCCATGTTCAAAACACCCACACAATTCGATGTCACTGAAACCCCCATTTGCGATATTTCACGTAATAGTGACATATCTCGAGTACTTCGTGAGTGCACCTTAATTGTATGGGATGAATGTACAATGGCGCATCGCAAATCAGTAGAAGCGGTCAATAGTACGCTGCTAGATATACGACACAAAAATGGGCGGAGTCACTATGCAACACGCGGGACAAGAGTCGATGAAATTAGTGCATGTTTAAAGAATTCAACTCTCTGGCCCCATGTTACAAGGTTAAATCTTACCACAAACATGCGAGCGCAAAGAGGTGAGAACACAAATGCTTACGATTTCTCACAGTTATTATTGAGCATTGGTGAAGATAGGTTTCCTGAGGTTGATGGTGGAATAGATTTAATTACTAATTTGTGCCAACGGCCCTTAACATCGAGAAACTTATTATATCTGTTTATGAAGATCTGGCTGGTATAGTAAACCAAGGAAACTCTTGGCTTTGTGAGCGCGCTATACTTACGCCTCGTATTGATCAAGCTGTAAGCATCAACATGACCATTTTAGAACGTATTGAAGGGGAAAATGTTACCTATACGTCAATAAATAGAGTAGTTGACTGTGAAGAAGTAACAGCTTATTCTGTACAGTTTTTGAATGCATTAACGGTGTCTGGACTCCTTGCACATGAAATTAAACTTAAGGTAGGGGTCCCCATAATTCGTTTAAAAAATTTAAGTTCACCACAATTATGCAATGGTACTCGGCTCAAAGTAGTTGCTCTTCAGAGTCATGTGAGAAAGTTTTTATTCCACGTATACCGATTATCCCCAATAACCTTCCGTTACGTTTTAAACGGATCCAACTGCCGGCGAGTGTTTGTGTGTACGCGTTACCTTACGAACAGCTGCTTTTCACATGGGCAGCTCTATGTGGCAATGTCACGTATCAGCGATCCCACTAATTTGTTTATTTTAGCACCACAAAACAAAACGACGAACGTTATTTATTAAGAGATCCTTTGCTTAATGAATATATATTTTTTTTTTTCATTTTTTACTTTTGAAGTTCTAACACAACCGTCATTAAATAAATAAAATCATTAAATTAAATTGCATATTAATACAGGAGATATTATTATGCAATTTTATTTAATGATTCTGACGACTCCTTGTTTTGTATTTATTACTACTTACTTATCTTCACGCACAATCCCTGACGGGGTAGCCAGAGAGAACAGATCGCGAAGTGTCACGATCCTTACATACTTCTTTCGCTTCTTTCAGATTCATTATCTTCTTCATACATGCACGTCTAGGTATCCGAGTACTCTTGACCCTCCCCTCTTCGAGCAATTTGCTCACATGGTCTTTGAAAGTTAGTCTCGGTATACCTTTTAATATTTATAAAGTATTATTTATTAAGCTTTTATTATTCATAAATCAGAAATGGATTAGGTAGTAGATAGCATTACGTTTTCTTAAAATGTGGATAATATCATAAAATTAAAAAGTAAAAAATTTGATCTATTTTCGCCTTTTCCACGAAGCTAAGGTTCTAGTAGACATATAATAATCTGCCTGATTATAATAAACATATCATTATATATACTCGGTTTGAAAATATAAAAAAATTGGAGAAAAAGTTTACATGCGAACGTAGTCACGGGCACAGCTAGTATTAAATATATTTAATATAAGTAAATTTTGTTTTACAAGTTTTTTGTTGAAATGCTGCTGCTAGCTGATGCAGGACTAGAATTTGGGTATGAAACTATATACTATAGAATATTCTTTATATTACAAGAACTTTCCTTAGAATATGTACTCTGGGCAGGAATGCAAAACTTCTTGCGTTTTCTATATTGAATGAGATACCATATAAGATGATCTTAAGGCCAAATATAAATCTCTGCATATAAGTAAAATTTGATGAATCTGTCTGTAATATTGAAATAACTGAATTCTATTTAGCTCAGGGGGGGTCATTCGCATGCTATTAGAATATAAACAACCGTTCTTAAAATTTTTGTCTGTCCGTCTGGGCTAATCTTTGGAATGACTGAACCTATTGTGATGAAACTTTTCGAACAGATAGTGAACAATGCCATGCGTGTTACTAGTGAAGCAGGCTACTAGTTTTGTGTAAAGTTAAAGTTACAGTCTAAAGTGTCATACTGCTTCGCACAGACCTCTCATTTCTGAGGACTGACAGAATTGTGACGCAATGATTCCACCGCGCCGCTACAGTGCGTGTGGCGGAAATCATCAGCGAATAGTATACGCTTTTGTTTTTAAATACATGAATAAATCCAAATATTGTTCAATATTTGTTTTCAGCCCTAAAAAGGTTGTTAGAGCTAAATTAACTGAAGAAGTCAATCAACGTTTAGCGTCACTCAGAGTAGATCCATTAAAAAAGACGTTACCTCAAAGTATTTTTCAAAAACATCGATTGGAGCTGCAAAAAAACCAAGAAATCAAAACAAAGGTATGTTATAAATATACATATTTTTGCTAGTATTAAATTAATTTATTCATCATCACGCCACTGCATGCCTTTTTTCCTTCCACGGCTAGTCACTAAGAATTTCTCAAATCAATCAATAGAATAGACGATCAATCAAAAGACGACATCAATAGACGATCTTTTTAATGGTTATTACTTCATTTATTATTCTAAAAAAAATGGATTTCTGTAAAAATAAAGCTTGATTCTATTAACTAGTCTTGTATAATATCTTCATAATCAATGACTGATTAATGCTTCTCTTCTCCCCATCACAAGCTGACGGATTTTGATTCGTTATTTTAGATTAGAGATAGGCATTTCTATTGAAGATGAGCAACTAAAAAGCTAACTAAGAGGGGGAACGTCTTAGTTAATTATTTAGCTGCTTATCTTTGAAATTACAAATTTATATCGGGTGTCCGGTAATAAACGGTAATTCTTGAAACATCATATAGACCTTATTACCGTTCTAAAAAAAATACAAAAAATATATCCCAAGTAGTACCTAAAGCTCCAAACAATTTGTTCAAAAAATTTGCGCATACAACATGGTGTACTGCACAACGTTTTTTTTTATAGAATAAGGGTGACTAACGAGCACACAGTCCACCTGATGGTAAGTGGATGATGTGTTCCATAGACATCTACATCTATCTTCGTTTGCGAATTAAAATGCAGATGCGTTATGCGTGAGGACTAAGATAGAATGCCTCTGTTTCAGTAAAAAGGGTATCCGGTTCTCTACACTCGCCATACGAAACACAGCAGCATTAAGCTGCTATTTTACGCTTATATTCTGTGTTCGTCCATGGTTTTTATAACGTACAATACAATTGTTTACGATGTTTACAGAAGCACAATATTTATTCTGAAGTACTGTAGGTTTTTACTATTACCCCGTGAATGAATTACCGTGTCCGTAGAGACTGTCGAGAGAATAATCGGAGTTGGAATCTTTCTGGCATTTTAGTAGTTTCTTTTATTTATATAATAAGGGTGACAAACGAGCACATAACCCACCTGATGGTAAGTGGATGCTGTGACCCATGTGACATTTACATTTATCCTTAGTTAAGAATTATAATGCAGATGCGCTGTCATCCCTGAGGTCTAAGATGGAATGACTATTTTCCAGTAAAAAGGGTTTCCGGTTCTCTACGCTCACCATGCGAAACACTGCAGCATTAAGCTGCTATGTTACGCTGCTTTGAGAATGTAATTATAACCCGGTCGAGCCGTGCTACCACCATAATATAGCTGCAGTGTGGCGCTACTACGTATAAAAGCTTCTTCCTACACAGCCGGGACAAAATAGGGTGATGGATTTACGGCGCAACCACACGGCACAATTTCTGTTTTAAATTTATGTATGTTTACTTATTTATTTACATACTTACTAGTATTTTGTGTGTATATTTAATAAGACTAAACTAGTTTCAATGCGTAAAAATGCTAAATATAATAATATTTAAGTTTGTTCACTTTTGTTTTTTATATATGTATATTCTACGTAGTAGAGCCATGCTGCAGCTATATTATGGTTGTAGCACGAATGGGTCGGCTCGACCGGGGAAGGACCACGCTCTCACAGAAAACCGGCGTAAAATACCAGCTTAACGCTGCTGTGTTTTGTATGGTGAGTGTAGAGAACCGGAGACTTTTTACTGGCAAAGAGGCATTCCATCTTAGTCCTCACGGGTGACAACGCATCTGCACCTTGAGTTTTTATTGAGGATAGATGTAGATGTCTATAGGTCACAGTAACCACTTACCATCAGGTGTATACTGTGTGCTCGTTTGTCACCCGATCCTATAAAATAAAAATTCACAGATTACTTGAAGACGCTTAAACCGATTTAGGTGATTCTTTTATTTGAAGGCTGATACGAAGATAGATGTAGAAGGCTGGCATGTGGTATCATACAAATTTCATCAAGGTCTAAGCAGTAGTTTTGAGTTATCCTTAATAATTTATATCGAAGTCGGTTGTACAAAACTTATATATATATATATATATATATATATATATATATATATATATATATATATATATATATATATATATTATATTGTATATTTTACATAAGTAGATTAATAATAGTATACTCATGCAACCCCAGCGGTGAAACATTACAAGAAAACGTAACTTTTTTTTCATACCGTACTAAATTTCTCCACTACGTTGATAAAGAAGTTTCAGTTCATTTATATATAAAATGTAAATATTGTATTTTTTTAGAAAAATCCGGCTCGCGAAAATGTTTATCACTCTATAATTGCATATTTGGATAATAAAGTTCAAACGATAAATAAGAAATCATTACAAGAAGATGCATACGTTTCCCCGAATAGAAACACAAAGTCGTTTAGTTTATCTTCCATGATATCGAACGTAAAATCCAAAGCTCTATCCTTAGTTAAGACGAGCGAAGAATTTAATAACGAAGATCGTTCATCGTATGAAACTGTCACTAAAAAATCGCTCATTTTACTTAACTCGCCACCAGGATCCAAAGCATCAAGTCCCAAAACTGAAACACAAAATTATAATTATGAAACACGTGATCCAAAAGAGTTGATTAGTACAAACCACAAAAAGAATAAACAAAAATCAAATAAAATAAGAAATGGGTATGTCAAAAAAATGAAAAAAGTATCTGAAACGAGTAAAGATTCGGATACAGATACAACTGAAAACTTCCGACTATATAATAAGGAAACCTTGGCAGCGAAATCCATTGAAGATTTTATTAAATCACCAAATCGACTCCATAATCCCAGTAAAAAATCAGATACCGATGAATTGATGAATGATCAATTGATGTCAGTGCAAACGAAACATTTAACAAATACTTTTAAGGAGGTGGACACAAATACAAAGCTAAACTTTAATACGGAACTCGAAAATGATGAAAGAAGCAGTGACGACATAGCATCGTTAATGGAACACGAACTAAGAAATGTTGCTTCTGATGAAAATATAAATAGCCACAAACAAACGAAAGGTGTGCTGAAAAACGCTTCATCAATGTCTTCATTATACAAAAAGAAAGTTATATTTGATATGGATGCAATTCAAATGAAGTCAGTTAGCGCGTCGCCCTCACAGAGCGTCACAGAAAAGAATGATAAAGATGAAAAGTATGAATTAGGCATAATAAATCTTGATACCGAAGAATGGGACTTATCCAGGTATGATTAAAAGTAGTTTAAACTTTTTGAATGACAGTTACATTCCTCTATAATAAGCTTGCATAGACTAATAACCATACTATTACAATGTAATTTTACTTTCTAATTTATCACATTATGGTACACTACGGTCATTATTGACAAAATAAAAATCAGCAAAAAATAATGATCAACAAACATTTGCATGCAAAAGAATACTCTAGTGTGTATAACTGCGCGGAGCTATTGATTTTAGAGGAAATATGTAAACCCCATCTGGCGAATGCAAGATCTGATTTGTCGATGTTTGTGACTGATCGTCAGGTCCCAGCGATGAGCCCGGTGTTCCTACATCAGAATTAGTCTATAGAAAAGTAAACTAACCGCCACCCGAGCAGGGATATGTGGACCCTGGCTCTGACGGCTTGATGTTGTATGGTGCGGATGTACGGTGTGCATGCGGTGTGGAGCGGCGCACACTCGCGCCTTTATGCGCGGCGCATCGCATCCGTAATTTCATGTTTCCAAGTAATCGATATTAGCTTGATGTTACACCCTTGAATAAAACTAAACGTCTTACTTTACTAGAAACCGTTATTGCTACTAAAGAAAAACAAAGACAAAGACAGATAAACTCAAGTACAAAATTAAACAAATATTGTACATATACTTTTTATATAGAAAAAGGGTAACAAACGAGCACACAGTTCACTTTATGGTAAATGGATACTGTGGCCCATAGATATCTACACATATCCTTGATTAAGAATATCTTTTTCGAGGATATCGAGGTTGTCTCCTATTTTAAATTCATCTTCACGTATAAACCATTTTTGTCTTTGTTGCAATTTGGTCCAATATACAATGCTCATAGTGTAGCTGCATCTATTCCAGAAACCATACAATTTTTTTTTGGTGTATTGGCACCTTCATATGATTTTTATATTTATATCTTTCAACCTTGGAGTAGGTACAGTATTCAGCGTTAAGGTGTAAAAATTTTTATGGTTTCATCATTCGATTCTTTCAAACATATTGATCTAGATTTAAGCCAAAGGGTAGGTAGTCTCGATTTCACAGAGAACAGTCGACATTTTTTCAAAGGTAAGGTGTGAAGTGAGAATCCTTTTCATGAGGCATGGAATTCACACCTGCGACCCATATTCCTCCGAAATTCAGTAAGTATGCTGGCATGTGATGATACTGAGTTCCATCATTGACAAGTAAATCAGCAATATAAAATTGTAATTGAGCTTCCTTTTAGGCTTCAGTGATTTTTTTATTGACTCCAACAAAAAAATTTGCTTTTTCCATATAAAATGCCATTTTCATATGTAAAAACCAAATATTGGACCGCCAATTCAGAACAAGCTCTGTGCTACAACTGTAGATCGGGCAGGCGCGAGCAGGGCGGGTAGCTGGTACGATAAATATTCCACGCAGTTGTATCGTTTACAAAGTGCGCACATTAAAAACTGACAGTGTTTTTTTAGTCAAATTAAATAAAATCAGTGTTACATTCAGTGGAGTGCCTTAGAGGGGCCCTGTATCAAAATTTGTCGGGGGGCCCAAATGAAGGGTAAAGATTTCTCATAAAAGAAACAAAAACTCTCGTATTGAATTAAAATAGTTATATATTGATTATAAGTTATTACTTATAATTAATACTCCTAGGAACTAAGCTAGCCAAACAATTCTAACCAACATACTGTCCCATAGAAGTCCTTAGAATTGTTGCTTACATACGTTCGGGGCCTCCGTAGGCCGGGGCCATATCACCCGTATCATTGATACGTCTGATACAGCGGTAGCTACGCCTCTGGTTACATTGTCGAAAAGAATGTTCACGGTCTACAAAACTTAGAACTAGTTCTTGCTTGCTCGCAGTCGTCCAAAGAAGTTACGGAGAATTGACCGTAACTTAGTGAGCCATGTATTAGTAGCGTGCCTGTCCAGTAGTAGATATTATACATAGAAATCATACTTTAAAAAACAACGTTTAAATACCTCAATTAAATACCTATGCTTAACATTAAATAACAAAACTCAACCAGGCACTTATTTTGCCATTCATCCATTACAGCCAATAAAAGTCCATTGCTGAACATAGACCCCATAGATTGGCTCATAAGGGGAATTTTGCCATAGTTGCCACGCTTGGCATGTAGGTTGGCAACGGCAGTTTTTTATTATTTTGAATTGAAGAAGCTGCTGCTCATCTCCTGTTTCTATTCGCCTCTTACAGCACCCACAAATACCAATATCAGATATGTGACGTGCTAACTACAAACTAATAAGAAGTAATCCATACGCGCACGTGTTAACTAAAGAGTGTGTCCTCCTAATACAAGTATTTTAATATATGTAATTAAAACGAAGGTCTCAACTATTAATTATATTGAACATATTTATAATGTCCTCGTTATCAAATATATATTCTTTTTAATTTTAATGTTAAATAACTTTTCAACGTTAACATTTTTCTTTCCACACTGACTACTTCGCTATACGTTAAACAGCTTTTTTTTTTTTAATTAAAATTTAATATCAGCTTCATATAACTTAGGTCTGATTTAACAAACATCAGATAAAAGCTATCAACTCAACTCAATTGTTAACTGCTGAATATAAAAGTGAAAATTGGACTATTTTATTATTCTATAAAACTGTAAATTTATATTGTTTATGGTGTACTTCATAGCAAGAATAACTTTAATCTGATGATCGTAAAAATCAGCCCTAAATTAATAATAAAATGTCATACATTTAATGTACATTTCCTTCAATCTACAGTATTGAAAACGAGCCGAGAAGAGTCGAGAGCACTGTAATAAAAAGGTCAAGCACAAGTCCGAAAATTGCAGAATTAAAGCAAAGCATTGAATCACAGCTCACTCGGCGGAATCCAACACTTTCTACTACTCTCGTTGGAGGAGTTGATGTTTTGAAAGGGCCCCTGAGAACAAAAGCCGCTAGTCTAGGTGGTAGCAATACAAGCTTGGGCAGCTCTATTCTTGACGATTCAGAGAGTGATTTACAACAAAATCATACGGCATTTGTAAAACAAAAGAATGTTACAGAAAAGGATGACAGTGAAATAGATATTTCACAATTTGTAATTGATAGTATAGACAATAAAAATAAGCGTAAATCTTTTTGAAAAATTTGAATTTTTTGTGTTTTGCTACCTGTCTCCTTACTGAGCTTAATAAAGACAAAATTGTTAATAATCCAAAATTGTTAATCATCATACTAAAGTCTAGTGATGCGTTCCATCATAGTCATGACAATGAGTATGCACATCAGATCGGATCCACATTTGACAATATTGACGTATATTGATTATAGAACAACACGAGCCATCAGCGGATCAGAGGGGAATAGCCATTAGCTGGCATTCCCCTCTATGAATGTAAAAGTCCACACGGTCCTAAGCGTACAATAAATAGTTGCAGCCGCAGTGCTCACTAAACTAAATCTAATTGCGCGGATGAATCGACGTCCTAAAAAAATACCCAATCATTCAGTTTTTTTTTGCTGCAATAAAACATCTAAAAAACGGTATGGCTACTTCTCTCCGGTCCGCTGGTAGCCCGTGTTGCTGTTATGATCTTGATTATGTCTATTATATGGAGTACCTACCTGTATCTTATGCATTTCGGTATGCAACAGACGCCCGTTTTGATCATCTTTGACGTGGGTCACTCAGAAAGTTTTACGAATTTAAGAGTTTTATTATTAAAAAAAAACTTTTCAAGCAACTTAACCGATGTGCTGTCAAGGAAGTCACTGGTTTTGAGCATTGAGTGCGCGATTTCATGTAATGGTAAAGAAGCTCACGGAGCCCCGTGTTCGGTCGCTTTTTGCTCACAGCACACTTCTGGAAAGCCATTACAGCCTATAAAATCCACTGCTGACCATAGGCCTCTCCCATAGATTGCCTCATGAGGGGAATTATGCCATAGTTGCCAAGCTTGGCAGGCAGGTCGTCAGCCTGTTTTTTTATTGCTTTCAGTTGTTATTAGGAAGGTGCTGTTGCCCATTTCCTGTTTCAAATTCCCACTGTCGCCTCTTACGAAACCCACAGGACGATATGGGGTAGTGAATAATCTTACATCGTCACTACACTAACGGATATGTGTCAACTCCTTTACCAAGGAGTAATAAAATACAGAAAGACTGATCGGATTACCCAATGAGCACTTAAGAGTCCGGTCCTTAAGAAACGCGCAAATAAGCAGTTACGGTTTTAAAAATGTTAAAGAACTGACTTCATTGAATGATACCACAAAAAAAATCTCAATTAGCTAATGGATGGGTCTACATTTTCACCGTGTGATATTTATAAAAACATCTTGATTTTCGAGAAAAAAATCTTCAACCATGGTAAAAACACTTAAAACGGCCTTTTCTATTTTAAATCTCTAGGCCATTTCGTTATTATTTTAGAAAATCTTTTTTCTTAAAACGTGAGATAAAGGTACATAGACTACATATTCACCATTCATTATTTTTACTAATTCAAACCAAAAAGCAACAATCTAAGCCTAAATATCGTTCATTTTTTAACAGAAATCGTCCATACATTTTAGTATGAAACGGTTAGGTTTCCGTAATTCGCTTTATATTAGACAAAGAGAATATAATCACTACGTTTATTAGAGAACACGCGTGAAAAAAATTCAGTGCCGCCTCAATTTTCGAGGTGGGTGCACGTCCGTTTGTAGCCCGATTTGACAAGTCGAGTCGATACATCTATTGTTTGATATAGCATAAGGGTGGGTCGCGAGAGACCAACTAGGTATGTGAGCTTTATTATGTATTGTTTTTTGTAATTATCAGAAATTAATGTACTTAATAAAATTGTAATTTACTTTAATATCTATTTCAGGTAGATAATATGGTAAAACGCAAAAAAAGTTATTAGAAAAAAGAAAAATTGTTTTTAGGACTTGACTCAACCACCGGTGCAGTGGGGATTCATGATCTGGACCTTGAGTGAATTATTGATCAGTGGGTTACCTTCTGTGGAGTCCACCCATTGTGATATCATTTCAGACTTTCTGAAATAGTCTTGTCCTGATTGCCTCGTCCGGTTCTTTGTTGAGGTTACCATCAGATTACTATGACGTTTAGGTTATTTTAGTAATATCTTATGCCGAGGTTATTACTGCAGTAGTTAAATTTAGATTGATAACTAATATTTATAATATAGAAGTTATCTAGTCAGTTCGGCTGTCTTCTAATGTTATGGCTTTTCATTAGTGCTAACAAAATACAATACGTAACAATAACTCTGTGGTTCCCTTGAAGTGAGTTATCAAAATCAGTATTCAAACGTATATAAACAATTTTACTTCAGAAAAACCAACATAAAAATAATCAAATTAAATTTAAATAAAATAATAATTGTAAATTGTATGTGGATTGATTACATCTTATAAAACACAAAAACCTTAATTAACATAGGTATTTTATTGGTCGTTGGTAAACAACCTTTATTTTTAAATCTTTTAATAATAATTGAATTGTGACAAAATTTTATGTTTATTAAACTTTTCATGTTTTTAAATATGTAACTAATGAAAACATACGGGCTTAAAATAAGTCAGTTGGCGTATACTAGACGACACTTTTGCGATCATTTGAAGTGCGTGTAAATTTTGGGGATTTTCCTATACTAAAGTCCAACGATGACGAGCGGGTAGCGGGTTTGAGTTTGAGGAGCGCGCGAAACGCCGCTTATTTTATAGTAATTTTATTTTGTTTATTACATTATTTTAATGTGGATCTGTTTAAAAATTATTTTCTGTTACATATTATTTATGGAATAAAGTTTCACATGAAAGACGCATAATACATTTATCCTACAAATAGTTGCAAGTTTGAAATTAATCACATTTTATACTTGAAACAACCTTTTTTTCCCAAATATCTAATTAGTAATAATGTGGTTTACAACCTACGTAGAGGAACTAAGATTTTTTTCTCATTAATGACTTCGTAAAATGATTTTTGTAAGATAATTTATAATATAAAATAAATATGAACGTATTAAATATTATTAGGTATTCAAGAAGCGACATGGAATACGAATACCAGCACTTTATTAAACTATTTTCATTATTATTTCTATTATATTTAAATTTAAAGTTTCTGACAATAACTATATTTAGAAAAAAATACTGGAAATAACTTAGCTTTTACCACTAATGTTATAATAATATATGAATTTAGACAAAAATAATTTTTATTATAACTCTTTTATTGTATAAACCATAACATTATACCCATTTATTTAAAGAAAACACGAATTAATTATATTATTTCTTCTTAGCAGTAAAAAATTGACGCAATAGTTGCAACATATAAGATATGATCCGCCATCTTAAAAGATACTGTTGAGGGGATCATTCACACAAACCTTGGAGGTGCGCGCGTTGCGCAGCGGCTCGCTTTAAAAAAATGATGTATCGGCCATGTCAGAGACCTCACAGTGGCCGTAGGTATGTCGGCACTTGTCGTTTAGTTCAGATGCAAATAATTTTTTTAGAAATAATAAATTTAGTTAGTTATTTGATTAGAAACGCTAAAATCCCATTCATAGTACACCTATACGTCCCTGAAACTACCAACGGATTGTTTGTTACATACTGTATAAATTGTTTAAACCACTGTGATTGTTTAAATCTGTATTAACCTTTATTTTTTATTAAAAGATCATTCTTATGAAACCCACATTTCCCATATTACACAAAACATTGATAATATTTTAAATTTGTTCATAAATAAAAAATAATAGTTAAAATAATACCTAGAAAGCGTACACTCTGGCCCCACCCTTTGTCGTCAGCTATTAATTACGGGCTCTCGGACTTCGCAATGTGACAAACAAATCACATAAAAGAAATTGCAAATGGCTACATTCAATGCTTGTTTTTTGAGACATTCATGAACATCCTACGAAGACGAACGCGTGATGAATATGTAACTTGTGCAAAACACCAAAGGTAATTTATTCATGTCCAGGGTGCGTATACTAAAGGCGGCTACTTACGTGCCTGCCGCAGGGGCAATCTAGGGAGCACAGCGATCGGAGCAATATCGGAGCTGTCTCTACACATATGCCTGCCATTCAGTATGAGTGTATGTCAAAGAGTATAGTAATATAAGGTGTACGTCTCGCTGGACGCGTGTGTTGAGAATGGCGCCAGTTTTATCGAAATATCAATAAATGGGTATATATAGCCTTGGCTCTTTTCTATAGAGAATAAGGGTGACAAATGAGCACAGTCCACCTGATGGTAAATGGATATTGTGACCCATAGACACCCACATTTATCAATAAAACAACTAATTAATTAATTACAACCATAATATAGTACTTATAAGCTGCAGCATAGCCCTGCCACGCTATTTTTAGGCTATCAAAGACAATTAAATATGACTAACTTCACTCGTCATAATTTAATATAACTAATTTATTCTGTGATGTAACTTAACTTACTAGTGCTTAGTAACTATAATTTAACTCGTGTTACAAATAGCCAGGATAGTTTTCTAATGAAGTTTTAATAAATTTAATTACTAAAATTTGTATTTTTGTTTAATTACTAAGTTAATGACATTTTATTTATATTCCAGCAATTTTAATACTATTGGAATATTTTCTTTCCCATACTAGCCCTTATGATAGGATCTCCCGCGTACACTTACCAGACAATAATGTACTCTATTTTAAGATGTATCTGTGCAATATGCTTTTACCATACCGCGAAGTTAAAAACCTAATAAGGTTATAGGTATAGGTCCCATAGGACGTGGTGCGAGCAATTTCGGGAAGTCCCCGTACATAGATTTTGTGTTAAAAGTTCATTTTAGTATTTTGATTATTACTTTTCAATTTTATTTATGATTATTATTTTACATTAGTTGAAAATGTAAAAAAATCGGGAGATACTTTCGCAAAATCTAATAAAAATTACTAATTAAAATCAGTAGATCTCCCGATAAATCGGGAAATTTTGCAACACTGCGCTCCTGCCCCCCTGCCGCAGGGCCGACTTAAAAAATTGCCCCTGCTTGCCTACACACATCACAATTAAGGAGGCAATTAAGGGTCATCCCCATTCCTATACCCTAGATTGCCCCTGCAGCAGGCATGTCAGTAGCAGCCTTAACACTGCGAGATGCGTCTGTGTGGCTAGAAAATATCAATGTTGGTGTTCTATTAGAAATTCCCACGCTTAAGGACTACAGTCTTAACTACATGACACTGGATTTGAAAACAAAAACTATAGGTAGTATAATATACATTCTACATACAATGCTTGCGAAGGGCAAAATTATTTTCCTTTCATAGCGTACATGAACATGGATATGGAATGCGTAATAATAGGCCTTTAACATGGTATATACATAGGCTGCACTAAAAGTATCGGGAATGGAATATTTCCACTGTTCCTGTCATATTAAAATCTTTTTAATTGAAAAGTCCTTGATTTTAAAAATCGAATACCATTTATTTATTTAAAAAAAGATTTTCGGTCTTGTCACAAGGTTTTGTGAAACTTGTTTAGTCGTTGAGAAAATGGAATTGACTCGAGAAAATTCAAGAGCGATGATTTATTATGACTTTCGAAGTGGTTTAACACAAAAACAGTGTGTTGACCGGATGATTTCTGCATTTGGTGATGAAGCCCCATCCAAAACCACAATTTATCGCTGGTTTGCTGAATTTCAACGTGGACGTGTCAAGCTCAGTAATGATCCCCGTCAAGGTCGTCCAAAAACTGCAGTCACCCAAGAAAACGTTGATGCTGAGCGTAAGCTGATTGAGGAAGATCGACATGTGACATACTGCGAAATTCAGGCAACTTTAGACATTGGCATGAGTCAAATACAAACAATCTTGCATGAACAATTAGGTATAAAAAAGTTGTTTTCCCGATGGATACCGCATTCGCTCTGTGAAGAGCAAAAAGCGGCTCGCGTTATTTGGTGCGTCAGAACTCTCGAAAGATTCCACGCAGGATCCTCAAATGCTGTATACAACATCGTATCAGGTGACGAATCCTGGATATACGCGTACGAACCCGAAACAAAAAACCAGTTACGAGTTTGGGTGTTTGAAAATGAGTTAAAGCCAACAAAAATTGTTCGTTCACGGAGTGTTGCAATAAAAATGGTGGTCACGTTTGTCTCCAAAAACCGCCCATGTTACGACTATTCCTCTTGAGAGACAAAGAACGGTTAATGCAGAATGGTATGGTAGCATTTGTTTGCCACAGGTCGTTTCTGAACTCCGTAAAGAGAGCTGCAACCGCCGCATCATCCTCCATCACGACAATGAGAGTTCTCACACCGCACACAGAACAAGAGTTTTTAGAGCAAGAAAACATAGAATTATTAGACCATCCGCCGTACAGCCCCGACCTAAGCCCTAATGATTTCTATACTTTCCCTAAAATAAAGAATAAATTGCGTGGGCAGAGATTTTCATCACCTGAAGAATCTGTGGACGCCTACAAAACGGCCATTTTGGAGACCCCCAACTTCCGAATGGAATGGTTGCTTCAATGATTGTTTCCATTGTATGAAAAAATGTGTCAAATTTCGCGGAGAATACTTCGAAAAGCAATAAATACATTTTTAAATAGTAATGTTGTCACTTCCTTGATTCCAGAAATTTTCAGTGCCGCTCTCGTAGCAAATGAATTCTATAAAAACAGAGATTGCTCCCCAATCACGCAGTGGGATCTCGCGCCGGGTAGCCGTCGTGCGCAGACCCGTCACAGGCGCGGTGTTGCTGGTAGCCTGCACGACGTAGCGGGGCTCTTGAATTCGTAATCATTTCAATAATTTCATCATTATATAAACAACTTGAACTTTGACGGCTCCGTGGCTTAGCAATGAGTTGATGCGCTGGGGGCCGCGGGTACGAATCCCGCACGGAACAAGTATTTGTACCTACAAATAATTGTTCCGGGTCTGGATGTTTGTCCTCGTGCAATTTATGTTTGTAAACTGCCTCCACGATACAGGAGAAAATCCTAGTTTCGTGATAACGTTTCTTTTTTCGAGAAAAAAAAAGAAGTCCTTCAGCTCTTTAATTCCGTTCTCCATGGTGGCACTACACCGGAGGCTCTTGAAGAACCACAGACCGATTTCCCTTCTGAGCCGCGTCTGCATGCTGTTTTCGAGTCATTACGAATCGTCTCGGATGCAGACTCGACGATTTCCAGCCTCCCGAACAAGCCGGTTTCCGAAACGGCTTTAGCACCATAGACCACATACATACCCTTCGGAAAATTGTACAGAAGTCCGAGAAGTACAATTTGCCACTGTCTGGCGTATGTGGACTATGACAAAGCCTGTTTCAGTCGAAATTTGGCGATGCTGCAGTCCCTTCAGCGGTGCCAAATTGACTGTCGGTATATTGAAGTTCTAAAGTGTTTGTACAGAAGGGTTACGATAGCTATCCGAATAAAGAACCAGAGTACGAAACCTATCCAACAGCAGAGGTGTAAGACAAGGTGAAGTTATATCGCCGAAACTTCACCGCTGCATTCGAAGACGTTTTCAAGCTTCTGCACTGGAAAGGATACGGTATTAACATCAACGGCGAGTACATCACTCACCATCACATTATTTGCCGACGATAAGGTCGTTATGGCAGAATCACTGGAGGACCTAAGCACTATGTTCAATGATCTCATTAGTGCCTCCCAACGGATAGGTATTAACATGAACATGGACAAAACAAACCACTGGCACACATAGCTGAGAACCTGGCAAATTGTGCAGACATAATGTGGTTTTATTCATAGGAATCTCATCTGTCACATCAGCATTGTAATTTTCCGTTGGTAAAATGAAATGGTAATACTGTCAGATACAGGTAGATCATCACCCTTTTCTAATTCGTCAATAATCTCATTGAACGTCAATTTCCTCTAACAAAATATATTTATCTAATTATTTCTTAAATTTACACAAACAAGACTTAAACGGAACTAGGTAATTTATACGGATTTTATGTATGATACATGTTAAGTCTTGTTTTTGATAAAAGTATTTGTATCAATAAAACTCCCGTATTTGGGTTTAATAAATTTATTTTTTGTAAAAAGACGTTTAAGTCTCCTTCTTGGTGTCGGTCTTGCCACCACGAATTCTTCCGGTTCTGCGAGCAGCGATAAGACCAACTTTGCGACCAGCTGATGTTCCTCTCTTGACTGTGGAAGCCTTACCTAAAAAAAAAAAGTATTTTAGCATTGTAAAAAACATTTACTGTAGATTCAACAGATAGCAAACAATTGCATTTTTTGTATGACCTAAAGAATAAATGTATATGTCACTTCAACAACCAGATAAACAGTTGTCCCACACATTTGCTAGGTTATAGGAATTCTTTTTCTGCCTTCCTGTGTTCAAGCCTGAAGGGAATAGAGAGCCAGGCTCTGAAGCAATCCATCTTAATCTTCAAGGTTGACAATGCATTTGCAGCCTTCCTTGTACAAAGTTGTCTACAGGTGTACATGAAATGTAATAGGTACTCATCATCGAGTCACTAGGCTTTATGAAAAAAATTAAGTTATAATTTGTTTTAAAAATACATAAAACCCTGGCAAAGCATCAGTGGAAACAAAAGTTCGGAATTCCGAACGGGTCAGCCACACACATACGGATCACGTTTTGGCCGCAAAATTTCGAACAGAAAACTACCGTACGTGTGTGACGTATCATAAATTTTATATGAACTTGCTGCATTCGGAATCTCGAATCGGAATATCGAAACGGAATCCCGAAACGGAATTCCGTATGTATGTGGCGGGCCTTACTGTTTCGCTGTATGTAATGGACATTTTAGAATAGATTGTAGATGCCTTTTGACTTATAAATTGGAGATAATTTTCTTTTATCTATTATATTTTCTTTATCTTAGAGATGTTAATATCTAAGTTTTGTAGTGGTCAGCAGACTTCGCCAGATATAAACCAGATAAAGCATATTTGGGTTAAACTTAAGTAATACTAAGTCTAGAAGTTAAAACTAGTAAGTAAAACTTAGTCTAGTAAGACAAAGAAATCCAAAACCAGCAAACATTTAAAGGGCCAGAAAAGTGCATTGATAGAAGGGTGATATTTAATGCTACTAAGTTTTATTGATTTAATAAAAGATTTGACAGCACCAGGCAGGCAGGTAACATTAAAAAAATTACTTTCAAATCTCAATTTTCTCTATAAAGTTCAAGTGTTAATTTTCTTTAAAAGTATAATATACATTTTTATGTCTCCAGTTTTTTTCAAACATCTTTTTATGCTAACTTGTTCTGAGTAGATGTGATTTTTTTACTAGAAACTCAAAAAATATATATACTCCAAAATCCAGCTATCTGCAAATTCATCAGGAATATACTGTAGTCAGGGTATTATATTGGTATCACTTACCAATATGTTGATGGTTACCACCACCATGAGGATGCTCCACAGGGTTCATGCTCACTCCTCTTACATATGGCCAACAGTTACGCTTAACCTTATATTTGTGGTAAGCTCTACCAGCTTTTAAGATGGGCTTATCAATACGGCCTCCTCCAGCAACAATACCTAACAAACAAACAAACGTTTTTTAATAACACAATTTTTATAGGTGCTGTTTAATAAAAATAAAACCAAACTTCAGAAAGAGCCTCTGTGTAATCATAGTCATTCAGAGTAGGTAAGTTAACAAGTCATCATGAAAAAATAAAGCTAAATTTATTTGTCCTAAAGAATAACATAATGTTACTGAGTGGATAAGGTTAAGGCCTGAGCAAATGGCAATTGTAGGGGCATGTGATTTAGCAGCTCGCTTCCTATACAAATAGAACAGCAGACACTCAAACCACTGCACTTTAACAGCATAATATGTTTGTCATGACAGAACACCCACTCTCCACCAAACGCTCTAGAGGCCTTATCCTAAGCATAGCAACATACCTGACTACTTAATTGTAGACTTTGGAAAAATGCAGTTTTAATAAATATAACATTAAAATAAAATCAATTCATAATAGCTTATTTTTGCTAATTAGCATTTTATATATTTAATAAAAATATTATATTGTATTATTCCCACTTTATATGAATTTTAGCTATAAACAATTAAGTCTGAAAATTATATAGTTTTTAAATCAGCTTTTATTTGTCACTAAGTTTATGGGTATATTAAATATTTTCACTTACCAACCATGCCTCTGTTACTGGAAGGTAAAACTTTTTTGGCACCAGATGGAAGCTTGACTCTAGTACGTTTTGCATCTGGATTGTGGCCAATAACAGTAGCAAAGTTACCCGAAGCACGAGCAAGCCGTCCACGGTCACCCATTTTCTCCTCCAGATTACAAACAATAGTACCTTCAGGCATAGCTCCCACAGGCATTACATTTCCTGAAAAATATCAATTATAAGCCTCACATGGTAGTTATGCAGCATATCATTAAGAGTCCAGAAAAAGCATAGATTAGTGAAGAGCAATATCTCTACATACAAGGTAGGTAATTGTAAACATACACCAAAGTAGAACTGTATATTTGGTGTATTTGTGATGAATTAAAATTCATAGTGAAAGCAGATTGATCTCAAATTAAATCATGTTACATTATGTATTAACTTCAATTAAAATCATAATTTGATGATTAATCCTTAATAATGATATTTTCATTATCACCAATTACATTTTTCAGATTACCTATTGATACTTTTAAAATATTTATAACAAATTTAATTCTGATGAACTGAATACAGTTTGGGTTACTGAATCACAGACATGCATTCCATGCTGCAAGTCTACTAATCATATCTAGGGTGATGGATCCACCATACAGGTCCAGTGGATACAAAACCGTGATGTAAGTTTTTAAAGCTGGACTTTTGCACCCAACTTGTACGTAACTTTAGGCCTGCCTACCTACCTCTAATCTATACAGCATGGAGCCTAATAATTAACTAGTTTTTTTTTTATAGAATAAGGGTGACAAACAAGCACACAGTCCACCTGATGGTAAGTGGATTCTGTGGCCCATAGACATCTACATTTATCCTCAATTAAGAATGAAAATACAGATGCACCACCACCCTTGAGGACTGAGATGGAATGCCTTGTTTCCAGTAAAAAGTGTCTCCGGTTCTCTAAACTCACCATACAAAACGCAGCAGCATAGAGCTGCTATTTTACACTGCTATTCTGTGAGAGCGTGGTCCTACCCCAGACAAGTGGACCCATTCATGCTGCAACCACAATATAGCTACAGCATGGCTCTACCACATAAATAATAGTTTTAGATTTTATAAGTCCTACAGGCCTCTCCTCATTTCTAAGTAGGTTTTAGGGCAAGGAAATTTCCACGGCACTGCCCAATTGCATGTTCGCAAACTTCACATGCCTTTGAAATTTTGTTTCTTTTTTGGACACGCAGGTTTCCTCACAATATTTTCTTTCACCTCCAAGCATTTGGTAATTCAGCATTTAAAATTGCAATCAAAAACTTTATTGATGTCGGGGTTGCTCATATACTGCACAATTTACAATGAGTGCTTGGCCCTTGAGCTACCACAGCTCCTTTAATTAATTTATTAGATAAATATAACTGAATAAATACAATGTCTGATCATCCGAGTTATGCTTAGCAAATATATGTATAAAATAGTAAACATTAAAAGGTAGAGCAAACAATAATTTATTCCTAAGCAAAACAGTGAAAGCAATAGGAAGTTGTATCCTTCTACACAAAAATATAGAATGATCTGCCTGGGTGGACCAAGAACCACCACAGCTGCACCCTTAACCTATTCAGTTAACCGTTAACCTTTATAGTTAAGCCAAGAGAAACTACTTAGTTCTTGAATAAATTGACAATAAATTATATAATATCAAACTATTTTTTTAAATAATTTCAACTAATAGTTTTTCAGTCTGCGTAAAATTTTTTGTTTTGCCAAAATACTTAGACTATTTTCGTCAGTAGAAATTAGAACTTTTGTTTCATTTTTTTAACTAATGCAATTTTAGTTATTTTTATTTTCATTATTAGCGCTGCAGGAGAGCTGCAAGCACTATAAGAGCCCTTAGCTAGCTGTAACAAATTTCAGATAGCAGGTACAATGGTCTATCTATTTATTAAAATAATGAAGTCAAGACTTACCAACTTCAAGTGTCGCCTTTTTCCCACAGTACACAAACTGACCAGTGTATAGACCTTCAGGTGCAATAAAAAGTTCCTTACGTGTCTTAAACTTGTATGGGTCTCTAAAATGAACCACAGCCAAAGGTGCACCTCTTCCGGGATCATGGATAATATCCTAAAATTTAATAAATCGACCAATCAGTAAAAGGAAACACGTTGATAATGTAATAAGATTATGAACAATTTACCTTCACAACACCTTTAATATAACCATGACGTTCCGCATAATCTAAGGAGCGAAGTTTAGGGGCTCCTTTCCTTTTCTTCGTATGTGATACGAAGACCGAACCGGCACCTTTACGTTGAGCACGAATCACACGACCCATATTCAAGTCCCGTCAGCCCTCACTAAAAGCAATTTTAGCATATTTGTACAAAATAATAACGAATGTAACATGTCTAAAACAGTAAAATTAATCTAAGAATGTAATTAAGTAAAATAATGCAGAACACATTGTGATTTCTGTGGATAAAAAACTACAACTCAATATTTACGTACGATTTGATAGAGGGTCACTTTTGAAAGAATGATCACAGATGACAGACAGATCTAACTTCCAATTCAAAGAGCTTCATTTTTTTATTAAGTTATTTTGGTTTGGATGTTTGTCTTTTAAGCCATCTCTTCATCAATCTCAGTATTAAGTGATTTAGAATTTATGTTCCGAAATACACTATTACCACTGTAAGCTTAATAATTTTCTGCTACCAGATGTCACTAGATGACACTGAGGTAAAGTTTTTAGTTACACAATGTCATTTCATTGATAAATTGGTTTTTAATAAAAGTTTATCACTTTCTAGAGTATTATATTAATACACAAAACAATGCGTTAGTAGTTTGTTCCCTATTTTTTTTTTGCGCATTTTTAACTTTTTTTTTAATTTTTCTACTTTTATGAATAATTGTGGTTAGGTTTATTTATTTTTAATCTTATTAATATAAAAGATAGCTAATAGTACAGAAAGAAACAATAACCTTTACATTTTCCGAACAAATTAACTTCCCCAAAATAAAATCTGTCCTAATTTACCTCACTTTTTACTCGCGCCGCCCTGGAGGCAAAAAAGTCGTGGATGTCTTCATTCAGTATACTGTGAAGCCGTTCCTTTTAGTTTGCTATACTGGTTACTTTTTAAAACGGAACGCAGTCCAGTATACTGTCATCCCCATTTATCTACACTGTTTTCAAATGAAGATATTTATCGTGTACACGTTTTCTGTTCCACAATTAAAAATATTATTTGAATGTTGTTGTTTTTGAAACTTAATGTCCGAATTTATTTGAATAACAATATTAATTAATAATAATAACAATAACAATAATTCGTAGAAGCTGTTAAATCTCTAAGCGCTTTTATGTTTTTTTGATCACATGATAAAAGTACTGAGAGCACCTTACCTCGAAAGCGCCAGTGCTCACAGTACTAAAATGGTGGCGATTTATAACGTCATGTATTTCTGGACAGTATACAGGCAGTCAAAAACAGACTGCCAGAGTCTTCTTTTTTTGCCAGTGAGAACACTGAGCAGTGCTCGCAGTGTATGTCGGAACACGACCAATAATCCTTTATAGTACACTGCTTCACAAAATGTTGATGTGTCACATTGCAAAGCCCTTGGGAGATTTTGACGGCAACTTGAGCCAGCAGACAGTTGGCGATTGTATGTCAAGGCGCCTAAGCAAACAGACACTTAGTCTTGAGATTCACATCACCATCGGAGTCATAGACTTAGAAAATACTGGCGTATAGACGACCTGACAGCCCTAAAATGTGTAACCAATTTTGATTTGTCATTGTGTACGTTAGCTAGTGATGTACAATTTTACTTACAAGGACTATCAAAAAATTATTGTTAAGGAAGCGGGAAAAGATTAAAAAAAATGTTTTAGTCCACGAAACTGAATAACTTCAAAAATTTACTGAATTTTTACCTTGATAACATGTTCCCGGGAATAAGCTGCACCTACCTGTCTTTTGTTGGATTTTAATTCAAAATGTACAAAGTAACAATAATGTCTGAAGAGGTGAGTCTACCGATAAACTTAAACAATTTCCCCAAAAAATCAGATCGGAAAGTTGTATGTTCAAGAAAATGTTTGCTGCAAATTGTAGAATTCATCTTTGGATTCCAACCAACCCGCCCAATTAACCTTATCCATTTTTAGGGTTTCGTAGTTACACTACAAGGAACCCTTATAGTTTCACCATGTCCGTCCGTACGTCCGTTCGTCCGTCCGCGGTTTTGCTCAGAGACCCTAGGTGTTACAAATCTGTAATTTGGCATAGTTATAGATATTAATCACGCCTAGAAAACTGTGAGATATAATCTTAAAACACATTCCCCCCACCTCCCCATCTAAATAAACCGCTGTTTTAAGAAATGTGAAAAGTATATATTATAGTAGTACATATAATGTAGTTAAAAGGAAAACTATCACAACTAAGTAAAATTGAAAAGTTAACGAGTAATAGTCAACTTAAAAAATTTCATTGCAACTCAATTCAAAATGACCTAAAACTGCAGGCATTAATAACTTTGTAATCTTATTGTAAACTGTTAAAAATAAACATTTTATAAAGAAAACAACTTACAAACATTACTACTATTAGATTTACTTTTTCATTTGCAGGATATATAGGATATTATTATCAAAACCGAAAAGTTTTTTAATCTTTTTAGAATACCACTCCCCATAAGGCTCATTTGAAAATAAGTCCTTCTGTTACGATCTTCGTATTTGGGCCTACTTTCGGTCGTTATTGCGATCAAACCACGATTTCATTATGCGCATTATTAAAGAAGCCCACGTATTGTGATGGGCAACTACGAAACGTATTTGACGGCTCCGTGGCGCAGGGGCTTAGCAATGAGTTGCTGTGCTGCAGGACGCGGGTTCAAATCCCGCACTGAACAAGTATTTGTATGGCCTGCAAATAATTTTTCAAAATATAAGAAAAATCCCCACCTCTACATTGTACGTGGCCCGACACGCACTTCGCCTGTTTTTTTTTTTTTTAATTCTATCCATCTTCTATCCATCTTTTTAATTATATCCATTGACAAATGGCAAAATAAAATTACGTTTTTAAAACGGAAATTAAACATTTATTTACATTCCTCTCCTTGTTGTGTGGGCAAGTCTATCGTTTCATTATTAACAACCAAGAGAAATACCGACATTAATTTTCATATAGTTGAGTTGATCCCTAGCGTATATGTAAAATATTTTGTTTAAAAATGAATTTACCAAAATCATACAAATTATCAACAACGTGGCTGTTTTCTTTGCAAAATTAATAAAATAATTGTGAATATTATTTATTTTAAACAGTATATAACATAAAATTTAATCAAAATTAGACGCTATTGATGACGTCTTGCGAATTTGCCTGTAAAATGTGCAACCATCCGCATTATTTTTATTATTGACACCACAGTCATTCACGAAATATGTAACCTATGAATTACAAACATGAAAACTATTATAATCTAAAAGTGGTAGACGCTGACGACTGTAACACAGTTTCACAGTTCACACATAAAAAAAATTAGTCTTGTAAAATTGAAAATAGTATATTAATTTATAGCAATAAAATATCTGAATTAACATAAACATTTTTGTAATTAATAAAATACAAACATTCGACAGCAAATATAATACAAAAAATATAAAAACTACCGCTACATTCATACCATAACCCTGTATCTACGCTAGCGCCATTCTGGAATATCGTAGAACTGTTATTTATAGTTTCAAGCTGGACACTTTTTCATCTTGACCCTCATATGAGATAGCCTTCCTTACCGCTACCACAAAATAAATAATAGCACAAGAATAGAAGGATCACTCTTTGATAGCAAACTTGTAAGTTTCTACTAGTAGACCGCTTCCATTGTAGGGTTAGGTGTTGTGAGAAAATAGATTGAATATTTTGATATTAGTTGGTATATAGTATAATACACCGAGGCGTTATGCAATGTTATAGTATTTGTTTTATTTTGTTAAAAAAACGTTACCCCCACACTAGGATTTTCTCCTGTATTGTGGAGGTAGTTAACAAACATAAATTGCATAAGGACAAACATCTAGACCCGGAACAATTATTTGTAGGCAATACAAATACTTGTTCCGTGCGAGATTCAAACCCGCTGCCCCAGCATTGCAACTCATTGCTAAGCCACGGAGCAACGGAGCCTTCAAAATATCAATTTGCTGATAATATATGTAAAAACTTTATTGTTCAATGTGAGTAAATGCAACATCGAGAAAAATTAAGATTATAACAACGTGAATGTCTTTGAAACTCAGATAATTTACCTACTAAACATTTTTACCCGACTTTAAAAAAGGAGGAGGTACTCAAGTCTGAAGTCAATGAAAAGTCGACATTCCTATTGTTGTTGTATGCTATACATACATACATATAATCACGCGTCTTTCCCGTAGGGATAGGCAGAGGTCACTTCTTTCCACTTGCTACGATCCTTACATACTTGTTTCGCTTCGTCCACTTTCATTATTCTCTTCATACATGCTCTACGGTTTAGGGTGCTCTTGACCTGGCCTTTTTTCGAGACGTCCCTGATTTGGTCTTGAAATGTCCGCCTAGGTCTACCCCTTCCAGCACTTTCATTCACACTCGCCTTATACACTTTTTTCGTCAATCGTTCTTCATTCATTCTCTCGACATGGCCAAACCATATCAGCATACCTTACTCAATTTTTGTCACTACATCTTCTTTCAGACCACAACGTTTCCTTATCTCACTATTTCTTATCCTGTCACTCAGTTGTTTGGCTTCTTGAGAGGCCATACTTTTATAATAACTCAAAAATATATATCAAAAGTGCCTAAATACTTATAAGAGAAAAACACTTTTTTGTTAACGTAAGGCACGTGTCAGCTTGAGCGCGCGCCTTACAATCTCACGGAATTAGCACCTTGTATCGGGCCGCGGAGCGTAGGTACGAGGGGAGGTCAATATCTTCACGAAATGACAGGAGAACTATTTTTCCTTTTCAATACACTTGGGACCAGGTCTGGGCTGTAGGGTGGGTGGCGAAGTTGTTGTTGACCGCACCGGTGAATGGCAGCCGTCGCAACATGGCTTGTGTGCACGGGCGCATTGTCGTGCAAAAGGAGCACGCCTTTTGGTAAGCTTTCCTCGCCTTTTTTTCTTATTTGAATTGATTAGTAAAGAAGCGTAGTATTCTCACGTTATGGAAACATCATGTTCCTTAAAATCAATCAAAAAGATACCTTCTGTATCCCAAAAGATCGTCGCCATGATCTTTCCGGCCAATTGAGACACCTTATA